TGGTTTTTTATATTAAAAACGACATGATCGGCGGGCCCCGTAGGGAGAGGGCCCTCCCTGAGACTTCCTCGCTTTTGTTTTTGGGCTCACAGACGAGGCTCTGTTGATGATGGTGCTGTGAAAGCGATAACGATAATGATGATGGTGAGTGATGAATAATACGTGTGCGTGATGATGATGGTGAGTGATGATGATGGTGAGTGATGGTGATGATGATGGTGAGTGATGATGATGATGATGATGATGATGATGATGATGATGATGATGATGATGATGGTGAGTGACTGAATTGGAAAATGAGAGAGTGTGTGTGCGCGTGTTTAAGTGATGATGATGCGGTGAAGATGATTATGCGTGTGGTGATGGTGAGGATGATGATCGCACGTAGATTCGAACAACGTGTTCCTTGTCCCAGGCCATTAGCGAGCGACTCGCCGCAGCCAGCACCTCATGGTGCCCGGTGTAAAGTGAATGGGGGGGCGATCCAATCGACCGCACCCTAAGTTTGTGGTAGAGTTTGAACGCCAGGGCGAGGAGGAAACCTGCGCGCTCCCGCGAAGTCTACCCCAAACACTCGTGCTCCTCACCGAATCCCAGACGTGTGATGACAGAGGTGGGAAGGAAGGGGCGGGGAAGGGCGACGAGGTGAAGCAGGCGAGGGCAGGAGAGGTAGTGAGAAATCAAATCAACCCCCCCCCTTTCGCACCCAATGACGCACCCCGCTGGCCCAGGATGTGCACTCTGCGGGTGGTGATCCACCCGCCCGACAGAGCTTTGAGGACAAACAAAAAAAACGGTCGGGCGGGTTTTGGCCAGGACCTCACGCAGCTCGGACCAACGAGGGGCGAGGGGTGGGACCTGCATCGGTAGGATCCAAGCTTCCATGCGCTTCTGCAGCGTCAGGTGAAAAAGGTCTGGGTATAGATTTCGAAAGGGGGGCACGAATGTATATAGTTTGCCACTTAGGGCGCTTCTGGAGCCTCTCGGCGAGGGCGGCTGCTTGGTTGGCCTCGGTAGCCGCGGAATGCTGGGGGCCAGAAGGGACCTTCGGGAGCGCGACCGGCTCGAGACGGGCGCGCAGGAGCTGAACGATGCTCTGGTCGCGCCAAAACGGCAGTGACCACAGCTGCTGAACGTGGCGGACGAGAGAGTTGCCTGACCACGAGGCTTCTTTCAGCTCGTCGTGCCATACCAAGAAGTTGGATATCGTGGCGCGCGCCGCGCGCCAGCTGGTCGCCGCACAACATGCGGCAATGGATGTCGGGGTCGATCGGGGCGCCCATGCGCGCAGCGACCAAAGGTCATGGCCCGTCATCGAGCTCGGCGGCAGCTTTAGGAGCTTATGGATGCAGCGCGGCTCTTTGGCGAGTAGCAATTTTGACGGTGGAAAAAAATTGCGCCGCTTAGCCGAAGGTGGGGAGAATCGCAACCTGGTAGAAGCGGAGCGAGGAGTCAGGAAAAGAGTCGGAGGCCGAGGTCTTCAATATTCTCTCCAACCACTTCTGCGCGCACGCCGCCCATTGCCCGGCATTGGTGGCGTCAGGGCCCACGTGCACGCCGAGATATGTGGCGGCACCTGCGATGGAAAAGGATTGCCCGTCAGGGATCAGCTGTTGCAGCATCGTGCGCACTTCCTGCACTGTGTCGTCTGTGCACTGAGCCCGCAAGGGGACAATAAACGCATTTGGGGTGGTGGAGGTGGAGCGAGGCGAGGCTCGAAGCCGAGGCGAAGGAGGGGTATAGTGAAGTGAGATACGTGACCTTCGCCAGGACGGCACCGAGGTCATCTGCACAGCCGCCAATCGAGCCCTCGCAAGGGTCAGGCGGGAGCGCCATCTCCAGCGAACGAATGATGGGGCCCATGCCAAAGGCCCATAGGGAGCCGCTGAGAGGGCATCCCTGCATGACCCCTGAACTGATCATCTTCATTGGGACCACCTAATCGCGAACCCGCGTCGAGGCCAGTGCCAGCGAGGAGAGGCCGCGAATCGCAGCGAGGTGCCCTGGCGGTAGCCCCATGCGCTCGAGGACCGCAAACAACCACGTGCGTGTCATGTTTGGGCACGCTGCTTTGATGTCAAAGGCGGCAAAGAGCGGGAAGCGGCAGTCGGCCTGTTCGTGGAATCCGACCGTTCTCACTCGTGCATCCAGCTTGGCAATGTTCTGGCAAAAATTGCGACCACGGGTGAACCCGTGTTGGGTCTCGCGGGCCCTGCTCCGCCCAAGCTTTGTTAGCTGATAGTTGGTGGCCGAGCGTCTCGTAGGCATTCGAGTGCATCGCCTGGCTTGTCGCCCTCCGGCGGGAATACAAAAATGGATTGGTTGAGGGAGGGGGGGAGGGAAGGGCACCGAAGAGGCGAAGGAACATGGGGTAGAGGGAATCCACGGTGGCAGGAACAGCCAACCAAGCCTGACATGGAAGCCGATCTGAGCCAGGCGCGGACTTCCGACCCCGCTTGAAAGCTTGAAACAGAGCAACGGGCGACGGGATAGGCAGATCGGCGACGGGGAAAGACGGTAAATACTGTTCAGAAAGGTGTCGATTTCGTCCCTGGGAGCATGCTTGTCCGAGAAGATCGGGGCCCAGTGGAGCCGAAGGGCGTGGGCCACTTGCTCCTGCTCTCTGGCCACCGGTGGCAGGCTGGTCCGATGGCGCGCGGGTTCTGTGCAATCTGACTGGTGATGATGCCATGCAAAATGAGACGCTTAGAAAACGCCGCCCAAAGCGCGGCACGACGCTGCAGTGTGCGTTGGATGCGCCGTTGCTCATGATGATGATGATGATGATGATGATGATGATGATAATGATGATGATGATGATGATGATGCTGATGTTGATGCTGATGATGTTGATGATGATGTTGATGATGACGATGCTGATGATGATGATGCTGCTGATGGTGATGATGATGCTGATTCTGATGATGATGATGATGATGATGATGATGATGATGATGATGATGATGATGATGGTGATGGTGATGGTGGTGATGATGATGATGACGACGACGACGATGACGACGATGACGATGACGATGACGATGACGATGATGATGATGATGATGATGATGATGATGATGATGATGATGATGATGATGATGATGATGATGTGAGTGTGTGAATGTGTGGGTGAGGAGGGGGTGCTCCTGTGAGAAGAACCCCTCTTTGTATGTGGGGAATAAACACATTGGAGGGTCTCGCCGTTTCGGCTCGCCGACGCTCCCAGACGGCCTAGAAGCCACCAAGACGGTCCTAGAGGCCTCCAAGAAGGCCCCAAAACGGCACCAGAGGGCCCCAAGACGGCCCCAAGGGGCCTCCAAGGCAGACCTAGAGGCCCCCAAGAGGGCTCCAAGAGGGGGCCCTGACGGGGGACCCGAACGGATATTTCGAGCCCTCGGTCCGCAGAGGCCCTCAGGAGGCCGCAAGATGCTCCAAGAGGCCCCAAAGAGGCCCCAAGAGGCCACCAAGAGGCCCCCATGGGCCCCAAGAGGCCCCCAAGAGGCTCCCAAAAGACTCCCAAGAGCCCAACACTGTCCCGAAGAGGCCCCCGAGATCGCTCCGAAGAGATCCCAAGAAGCATCCTTGAGAACTCTGACCCACAACTCAGGCACGGTGGCGGGATGGGCAGAAAGCCATGACATAAAAATCCCCCGGGGCTTGAATCCTTAACCACCGCCCCCAACGTAAGTTGTACATCCGACCCTGAAGAGCCGAGAAGGTAGATGCTTGAACACTCCAGCAAAGCTTCGAAGGTTCACGGCCCTCCCTGGGCCTCCGGAAGCCTCTGGGACTGCCCGCGACGACGTCGACGACGACGACGACGTCGACGACGACGACGACGAATTAAACTTTGCCCTCGGCCCTCGAGAATCGAGAATGCATGTTTCACTTTTGAAGCCTCCCAAAAAGGTTCTTTATATCATGTCTTCCGCCCCTCTTGGGACATCTGGAAACCTCAGGATCCAGGGCGCAAGTAAAACTTACCACCGCCGAGGCACCCTGCTCATGAGCCTCCTCGTTGTTCTTGCCTTCCCGACCTCGTCGCCACGGCTGGAGGACCTGGGAGCAGTCTGGGGATCGTCTTTGTATTGATTCTGGTCCGACGACGCAGGCGACATAGACGGCCTAGATGCAGACGCAGCAGCAGAAATCGAGGTTGAGCGCGTGGAGCCACGTGGAGACAATGTATGCACATATGCGATGTGACGTCGACGAGGGAAACTGACCGATGCATTAGACTACGCTACATCGTACCTCGTACCGAAGCACGTGCCGGAGCCGATGTTCGACGTCGGCGTTGTTCGCAGAACCCAGAGCGGGAAACATCACCGTTTGGGGCCCCACCAGAGGCTAGAGCTCCGGATCTAGTCAACACGGGCGCGCTCCCCCCGACAAGAAACAACCAGAGCCTCCCCGATATCCTGAAAATCGTCCGATGTCTCGGCAAGTGCCCACAAGTACCATATTGAGCTTGCTCATGATGGAATTTTTGCACCGTTTGCTACTACACGTTGCACGGCGTACAGTTTCTTAAGAACAAGGAGGAGTAGAGCGCGACACGACCATCCAAACCCGACTCAAATAACGGCACTCTTTCTGTACAGCACGGAAGCCCAACTGCAAGATTCACATTCCGAGGGCCACCAGTCCCCTCTACTGCTCCATTTCGCCCCTGTCTACTCTCATCACATCCTTTGTGATCCTCATGATTATCCTGCCCCCCCTTGTGCTGACCCTCCTGATTATCCTGCCCTCTCGTCTACCCTCCTCCTCGTTCTCCTCTTCGTCCTCTTGATTTTCTCCCACCCCTCTTCCCCAGTACCGTCCTGCTGCTGCTCGTCCTCCTTGTCCTCTTTATGTCTGCTCCTCCTCCTCCTCCTACTCCTCCTACTCCTCCTCCCTCACGCCGATCTCTCCCCCCCCTTCTCCTGAAGGAGGTCGAAGAAAGAGAAGGATGCCAGCAAATGCCCAATCTCTCCCAGAAGGGCTGAGGCATGAACTCTGTGTCGTCACTGGACGAGGCCGCATCGTCGTCCTCGTGCTTCTGGGCACGCGCGGGGGAAGGGGTGGAATGGGGGAGGGGAAGGGACGAGGGGGGGGGGGGAAGGAGGGAGGGAAAAGAAGCAGGATGATGAGAAGGTCGAGGAGACGGGGAAGGAGGGGGAGGAGGAGAAGGAGGAGGAGGAGGAGGAGGAGGAGGGGCAAGGGTTTCTGCAAATGCATTCGCAAGAACACTGGTAGAGGAGGTGAACGGGTACTGGACGATGCGTCCGGCTGAACTCCGACACCCTGTGCGTGCAAGGCGCCCCTCCCTCGATGCGCACCCTCCAGCCCACTGCTGGTCGCCAGCGTTCGCGCGTGGGCGCCCCCTGGGCCAGGCTGTCTCGTGCGCGAGCTGGTAGTGTTGCAGGAGTCTTCGTGGTCCCGAGAACCTGCAGCTCTTCGGAACTATCGGGATGCTCTGTGCCTTTTGGAGGGCAGATGGGCTCTTCCGTCCGTGAAGAGGGTTGCTCGTGGGCACTCGTGAGGAGCGAACTTGGGACGGGGATCGTGTGTTGCAGGCAGCGTCGCTGATGCGTCCTGACTTTGCTCTGGTCCTCCTTCTCCTCCTCCTGCTCCTCCTGCTACACCCTCCCTCCCTCCCTCCCTCCCCCCCTCGTCAACCTCCACACTGGCATCGCCACTGGTTCCTAGTCCTGCTCCTTCTCCCTCCTCCTCCTCCTCCTCCTCCTCCTCCTCCTCCTCCTCCTCCTCCTCCCTCCTAGCGTGTATTGCAGCGTCGCTAATGCATCCTGGGTTTACTCTGGTCCTCCTCCTCCTCCTCCTCCTCGTCCTCCTCCTCCTCGTCCTCCTCCTCCTCCTCGTCCTCCTCCTCCTCCTTCCCCGAAGCTATTTTGCTCAAGCCATTTTGGTTCAAGCCATTTTGGCTCAAAACTAAACGTTGTGAAGGGCTATAGACGCCCGGGAATCAGCGATTAGCTTTGGCTGCGCTCAGAAGCCAAGGTTCGAGAGTTTCTGGAGCGCAGCGCTCCAGGGCAGCGCAAATATTCACCGCACAGTCGTTATGTGGCCCTCCCGCCTTTGCAGTTTCGTGGCATATCTTCTCGCCAGCGCTACCTGGTGTGCCCCAAGTCTGGTTGCAAGGCTTGCTCTCGCTGTGGCACGTCGCTCAAGAAGTCACAGCACGAGTCGGGCTACCGTGGTTCGAGCCGTCAGTCATCTAGACAACCTCGTGGGCAGCGAGGAGAATGGCAGCAGAAGGTGCATTCGAGCCCGAGTCCAACGCCCAAACCGACGCCGAGCCCGACACCAGCCACAAGCAGCCAGACCCCGTCGCCCTGGCCCAGGCGCAGGCCTATTTCTGGCGCAAGTGGGTCGGCGTGCAGGCCAAAGACTACAACGACGCGCTGGAAGTGCTCAAGCATGCGAATATGGAGGCGCTGCGTGGCAAGAGCTTGGACCGGCAGACTCAATCACTCAGCGGACAGATCGCCGCCATCAAGTCAAAGACCGACGATTTGGAGTCCGACCGCCAGGGCACCGCCGCTCAGATTGCCTTGCTGGCGGCAGCAGAACTGGTCTACGCCGCACTGCAGGCCAAGATCCCGTCAGGTCGTGTGGTGCCCGCAGAGCTACACGAGAAGGTGCAATCCCCGGCCAGTACGTTCGACAAGCTGCAGCAACAGCACGAGCAGGCCATGGCAGCACCAATGGCAGCAGCAGCCGCCGAGGGCACCGCCGTGCCGAAGCCCGCGCAGCCGCCGCTGGCGAAGGCCGCGCCCCTGATCCCTTGGAGGCCCCAAGAGACCCCCAAGGAACCCCCAAGAGGCCCCCGAGAGGCCCCAAGAGATCCCCAAGAGATCCCCAAGCAGGCCCCCGTGACGCCCCAGGAGGTCCCAGAAATGCCGCCAAGAGGCCAAAAAGAGGCCCCAAGAGACCCCCAAACGGCAAGAGGCCACAAACGCGCAGGCAAACGCCTGCGATGGCACAACACGGGCCGGCGGAGTAATCGAAGCGATGAAATAACCTGGTTTCAAGGAGATGTATGGTTGTCTTGTGCGTCAATGTGAGCATTGCAACCTTCAAGGGGGGGTACTCGTGAAACTGAAGAAGCTGAGCCAGGATGGCTTGAATCAGAATTGATGTACGAGGCGAGGGAGACTATCATGTCTGATCCTGTGACGACTCTAAGAAAGTATAGTCGCAGGCGCATGCGATTCTCGCCTTTCCACAGCGCCTACGCCGAGAGCAGGTTCGTGAAATCCTCACATTTCCTTTGTGCGCCCAAATCACTGTTTGCGCGAGCAGCGCCGCAGCATTCACATGATGCTGTGGAGGTCAGGCTGACACTGGTCAATTGATTGCTCCAGCGGTCCACACCTTCAGTGAGACGGCCAACCTGCCTAATCCTCCGCGATCCCGTTCCTGCACTCTCAGCCCTCCCAAACCCCTAAAGGTTCCCTGTGGTCTCTGGAATCTAGACGCCCATGTGAAGCCTCCTGAGCCCAGACAGAAAAAGCATGCCCCAAAATCTGATCGTTCTCGCTTATCAACAATGTCCTCCTCGAGGATCTCCTTGTCCTATCATCTGGCGAATCGAGCCGCAGACGAGGCAGGCCGCAAACGAGCGAATCTCCAGCGCAGCGAGCCGCCGGCGAAGCGAGGTTCCGGCGAGGCCAGTCTGCGCCATCCCCGAACCTCGCTCAGACGTCGTGTCTCCTCGCTGTGGGGACTCGACTCCTTACCCCGGGTCTAGATTTCCGTCTTGTGTTGTTCCCTGATGCTCTGGGGGCCTGGTTCGGGCTCCAGGAGGCCCAAAACTGAAGAAGCAGCTGCGTGTCAATTCCCCGCGGTGAACAAATCTTGGCCCCCTCTCCGTCAGACAAAAACGTCGACGTGGATCCTGCCGCGGAGACGAGAGAACGCCGACTAAGGTCAACGAAGTTCAGACGCATCAACAAACGACCTTCGCTTACGACGACGACGACGACGAGCGTCGACAGAAGTCCCCTGAGGTTCTGGCAGGTGCCCAGAGATCCTCGGCGGCTTCTGGAAACATCCCGAAGTCCGCAAATTGCTAACGCCGTCCAAGAACCTCGATCCTCGATCTACGAAGACAATGGCGACAACGAAGGTGGCGGCAATGTCGACGACAAGCGCTCAAGACGTTCCTGGTCTCCTGAGACCCTGGACGTCACTCGACTCTCGGCCCTGGAAACTCGACCCTCTGAGAACCTAATTACGGAAACCTCGACGGCGGGGGCGATAAGGACCGACGACGACGGGCAAAGACCGGGTGCGCGCGTGAATGACCCTGGGCGACACTGATCTTCGCTACACGGCCTCGCGATCGCCGCGTGCATGGCGACAGCGGCGGCCCGTGCGCTTGGGCTTGGCCCCCTTCTGCTCCGAAGGTCACTCTGGCGGTCTGGCTCTCGGGCCATGTCTCAGGTCTGTGGCGGCCGTTCGGGACGGTTCGGACACCGCCGGACCGCTCCCGGAGAAGTGCAGCCGCTGGAGCGCATCCCGAGGCTGGCCAACCTCCGGGGGAGCCGACAACAACGCCCGCGGGACCTGCACCGAAAGGCCACTCTGGCGAAGCGTCGGGAGGGCCCCCAGATGGGGTCGGAGGATCGCGCCGCATCGCCAATGCATCGGCGGCGTCGGTGTGGAGAAATTCGGGCTCCACATCGAGCCGCATCGGCGATGCGGCGCGAATTCCCGACCCCATCCACTCGGCCCCCACTGAAAGAGGCCCGCGGGGTCACTCTCCCGCTGCAGCCGAAGCGGGGGCCGCGGCGCAGGCCTCGGAGCGGGCCAGCAGCGTGCCGACGCACAGCAGCAGGCACACCAGCGCCCCGATGCCCACGAGCATCGACGTGAAGCCGCCGGCGCTGGGGTCCGAGGCGGACCTGGGCGCTCGCCCGTCTTCAAGGGTCAAGGATCCAGGCTCGAGGCTGGAGGCTGGAGAATCGAGGGTCGATGGTCGAGGGTCGAGGGTTGAGGGTCGAGAATCGAGGGTCGATGGTCGAGGGTCGAGGGTTGAGGGTCGAGGATCGAGGGTCGAGGATCGAGGGACGAGGGACAAAGGTCGATCGTCGAGGGTCGAGGGCTGAGGATCGACGGTCGATGATCGAGGCTCGAGGATTGGGGTTTTTGAAATACTTTTCGGGAAGCATGCTTTGGCCTTCGGAGGCCTCCAGGGGGTTCCTTTGGAAACCTGCGGAGGCCTCTGGGGGGCTCCTGGGGTCTCCGCGGCAGACCTCGGCGCTCGTCGTCGTGGTTGCGGTCGAACGCGGTCATCGTCGTTGTGTTGGTGATCATGGCGGTGCTCGTGGTGGTGCTGGTGACCGTCGTGGTCGTGGACGTCGCGGTCGTCGTGGTTGTCCTGGTTGTCGTGGTTGTCGTGGTAGTGGTTGTCGAGGTCGTCGAGGTCGTTGTTGTCGAGGTCATCGTCGTCGTCGTCGTTGCCGCCGCCGCCGCCATCGGCGGCGGCGGATCTCGACCATCTGTACGCTCTTAGGTTTGTCTGGCTCTTTTCGGGCTTCGGGTCACACATCTGGCCCTCTTTGGGCCTTCGGGGGGCCTTGGAGGCATCCAGGTGGGGCCTACAGAGACCTTCGGAGGCCTTCTGGAGAGGGGGGGGCTCCTGAGGTCTTTGCGGCAGCCGTTGTGGCCAACGACGTCGTCGCTGTCGTGGTCCTCGTCGTCGTGGTCGTCGTCGTTGTCGTCGTCGTCGCCGAAGCCACCGCCACCACCGCCGCTGGCGTCATGGTCGTCGACAGCGGACATTACACTCTTTTAAACGTTGTCCAACATTTGGGCAGATTTCTGGCCTCGTCAAGCCTCGGGGGCCTCCATGGGGGCCTCTGGGAATTTCGACGGTGGACCTCGGCGTTCGTCGTCGGCCTCGTGGCCTTTGCCGCCGCCGCCGCCGTCGCCGTCGCCGTCGCCGTCGTCGTGGTCGTCGTCGTCGTCATCGTCGCCGTCGTTGTCGACGTAACCGTCGTCGTCGACGTAACCGTCGTCGCCGCCGTCGTTAAGGATCGGGGTTCCGCGGATGGGTTCGCCTAGAAATGCTGGGCACAACGAACTCCAGGACAGATCCGCGGGAAAACGGCGACGACGACGACGGCGACCGTGTCGGTGGCGGCGGCGACAGCGAGGAGGAATCAGGATGGAGGGGAACGGAGGGCGGAGGAGAAGTGAGGAGACTGAAGGGGGAAGAGAAGGGGGGGCAGGACAGGAAGACTGGAAGAGTGATGGGAATAAGGGGAGGAGGGTGAATGCGCATGAAGGTGCAGGAGGGGAAGATAGATGGGTGAGGGAGCCGAAGGGGACCGTGATGCTAAGATGGTGACGATGATAACAATGAGGGACGAGGGTGGAGAAAAGGATATAAGACGATGGGGTTGATGGGGGAAGGCGGGAAGAGGGTGGGAGGAAGAGAGGGATACCAGGAGAAGTTTTGTGCTCCTCCGCGGATGCTAACAGTACCAGCTGCTACGGGAGGAGGAGAAGATGAGGATGAGGAGGAGGAGGAGGAGGAGAGGGAGGAGGAGAGGGATGAGGAGAAGGAGCGCCAGTACCTCATGCGTCCATCGGTCCCACTGCACTCAACGCCTTGGGGGCTTCAGCCAGGGATAAGGCCTAGCCATTCCAGGTGGAGGCGGAAGAAGCGAGTAATTGTCAGGCATTTTCGTGAGCGCCGCTTTGAGGGCCACGAGAGATTGAGACAGATCGAGGGGCCGACTGTTCTGCCGCCCAACCATTTCTTTGGCTATGTGGTAGATGTAAAAGAACAGGGAAGTAGCAAGCACAGCATTCTCTCGAGTTAAATCGAGCGCTGGATAATGAACTGGCAGCCCAAGTCCGAGACGTATGAGCGGACATGAGGGCACCACCGCACGAGGACGACAGATCAGATGGACAAGGTGAGGGCATCGAAGGTAATGCTCAATACTGTCCGGATGGCGGTGGCAACCGAACACACAACACCAGCGCTCCGAGGTCACGTGCATGCGGTCCGTTGTCGTCCACCCCCCAGCGACCGTTTTCAAGTAAGGCCAACGGATCGAAGCGGGAGCCCGGAGCAAGATTTCTCGAGCCAGGGCCCACCTCTCTCGCAGTCGTGTGGGGGTGACATTAAACCAGGCCCGCACGCGACGCTCAATCAAAAGCTCTAATTTGTCGGGATAGGCTGAGCCAGAAACCGAACGCATAAAATGACCTTGCATCTTGGGCCGGCGTCCCTCCAGTGCGGCCTCACGCACGGCGGCACGGGCACGGCTCTGGGCGAGGCGGAGCTGCGAGGCCAAGAGGGGAGGACGGCGACACGGCACGGCGGATCTCAACTGCTCGCAGTACTGCACAATCGACTGCTTCATCTTCCAACACGGCGCGCACCAAGCGTGCTGAATTATGTCCACAACTGGGAGGTGATCCACAACTCCCGAGACGAGATCTGCAGCGAGCTGGAGCCGACGGTGCAACGGACCCCAAACATTATCTAGAGTCATGGAGGCGGACCGCCACGCATTCGCCACCGCCAACGAGCATATGGCGTGAGGAGCGGGGGAGGGAGACCACGAGGCGAGGGAGAGGAGCTCCGAGAGGGCGAAGGAGTTCGGGGAAAGATGAAGAGATTTGTGCAAACCCCAGAGCTCGCGTCGCTGCAACGCAGAATTCAAGGGATAATACTGGCTCAGATAAGAGAGGCAAGAAACGACGGAGGAGTGATACAATCTCGAGGCGACATCGGCAGATGATTGCAACATTCCTAGTTCCTTGCACCTCGCGACATATTTCTGATAAGGAGCGTCCCATATCATGTCGAGGGTAGCGCCTGGACCTATGAGGGTGCCAAGGTATTTCGCGCAACTCTTAATGCAGAACCCGGCCCATGACGGAGCACACTGCGTGAGAATAGCGCGGATGTCCGAAATCGAATCGGACGAAATCTCGGTCCACAAAGGCACGACGACGCATTTAGCGACTTGAAGACGCAACGTGGCAACCCGCTGAACGCGGACAAAGAGGGGCTCCAGGGCTTGGATCAGACGGAGGGATCGAAGGACCGAGCCGATGTCGTCGGCGCAGGCCCCCAGTGTCCCGAGAGAGCGAGAGTTGAGGGCACGAGAGAGGAGGCGGAGGAAAGGATCAAGCCCGAGCGCCCAAAGTGTGCCGCTAAGAGGGCAGCCCTGGGCTACCCCCGAACGGATAGGGATCGGGAGCTGCCGGGAGCCACCAACGCGGATCCATCCGACCATCTGGGAATACAGAGAGGGATGAGGAGAAGGAGGAGGAGGAGGAGGAGGAGGAGGAGGAGAAGGAGGAGGAGGAGAGGGAGGAGGAAGAGGAGGAGGAGGAAAAGGAGGGAAATCAAGGAGGAGGAAGAGGAGGGGGGGATGGAGGAAAATGATGGAGGACGCCGAGTGAGGTAGGAGGATCGAGAGGGAGAATGGGGAAGATGGGGACTAGGAGAGAGGAGGACAGGGACGATAGGAAAGAGGGCGAGAAGGAGGAGGAGGAGGAGGAGCCCCCCTGCATCATCCTCCCCTCTCATGTCTCACCTCTCCTCCGCCTCCTCCACCACATCCCTCCTTCGAGCGAAACCCATATGGTATCCCCCTGCTCCTCACCCCCACCTCCTCGCCCTTCCTCTTCCTATCCCCAATCTCCTCCACACATCCCCCTCCTCGCGCACAACCCGATCATCCTCCTGAACTACCTCCCTCCTCCTTCTTGCCGACCGGCGCTCCTGCTCGGCTGGGGGGCCGACCGGACAGTCAGCGACCTCGAAAGCGTCGCGAAAAGGGAGTGCTCCGAAGCTAAGTCTGCAACGGACGGATGCCTGATGATCATTGTTTCTGCGAAGTGGTGAGGATGAAGATGACAGGGAGGTATGGGTCAGCAAGAAGGAAGGAACGATATCGGGATACTGGTGATGATGGTGGTGGCGATGATGATGATGGTGATAATGATAATGACGATGGATGGTCTTATATTAAATTAGACGATGCGCTGTGCGCGGCTCCACAAGGTCACGCATGGGAATTGACTTCCCTGGCCAACTTCGTGTGGCCAGGGCCGAGGCCCTTCTCGAAGGCCCTCAAATAAACCAGCCCCGTGCGTGTGGGGGGCTGGCACTCCTGCACCAACTTCCGGCCCCGCCTGTAGTGGTATGTGCCGAACCCACCGCAGGTTGAACAGGCAAAAATCACTTCCTGTCAAGAGCCCACCCCAACCTCCCACCACCGCATCGCGTGAGAGGCGCGCGCGCCGTCAGGCCATGGCGGGTTAGAGCCACGGAGCAGGCGGCCTGACAGGAGGGATGTGTGTAACCACTGGGGCATTGCAGGGCTCCCGAAACCACCTCACAATGGCACCCTTGGACCCGTCAGGGGTTCAGACCCACATGATCGGCAATGCCAGCGGTTGCGATCGCCGTCGATAGGACCAAGGAAGTGAATCGTGTCAACTCTAGCCTGCTTCATGTCCAGTCTGGGCCGAGAGGTCCCCAGGACCGAACACAACTCAGAAACGGGAAGCAAGCATCTCTACCAACATGGCGGCTAGGCGACGGCGGATGTCCTGTGACTCCACCTCGAGCTCACGCAGGGTCGCAGCGGCTCCTGCTGGGACTTGGGCCTCAGGAGACATCATCTTAGCAAGTTGGTCGGCCAGGGCGTTAAAGGCAAAAAGGGACATCACCTTAAGTGAGGCCCGCGCAAAATCTCACTTCTTCGCGTGTTCTCGATTGTCACAACTTCGCTGTTCCTGTCAAGGGCTGGTCCCATCACTATATTCCAGAGGTCTCTATTACACTTAGGCTTCCAGCACGCTTTGGCCCTGAGCCCGAAAAGACCCTTCTGGACGTATGCACTGTCGGTGAAATATGTGGGCCGTGGCGCGGACAGCTGCAAGGAACGCGAACAGCTCGGAACGATGACTGTTTTGCCTGGGGCCTGGGACGGCACCCCCAAAACCTCCAGATTTTTGAAACTCAGTCAGGTCCCTTGGGTCGGCTCCGCAATTGACGGACAACGCGGCCAAAGAGGTTCTGCGAAGCAAAGGGTGTCCTAAGTAGGATCCTCCTGCGCCGTCTCCCGCCAGCCAAATCCGCCCTTCTTCACGCGCGCCACGCAGGAGCGGGCGGGGGGAGGCACCACGAGGCAAAAAGGGGGGGAGACGGGCAACTACGGGTCCAGCCTCGCAACGAGGTCGTCGGGAGGCTCAGGGATAGAAGTCCACGTCGTGGGGATGATACCTCTCCGCCAATAGCAGGGGTGTTTCTCAGCTCCTGCCGTGGCCTGGTCGACAAGGAGTTGCGTGGCCTGGCAACGGGCAACCCTGGCAGTCTCAAGGCAGGCCCAACAGCGGTGAAGGTAGGTCTCAGGCTCACGGCCACGCCGTGGACACTAATTAGACTCGACCTTCACCCCTGCTTGGGCAAACCTGTCTCTGGGCTAAAAGCCCGCGGCTGCTACAGTGCACTGTCCTGCCCTGTACTTGTTCGCCCCTTTTTTGGCCATGGCCTTCAGGGCCTTGAGAACGTGCGAGGTCTCCGCTCTGTTCTCCAACCCGCGGCCGTAAAAATGTTTCGAAGCGGTCTTCCAGGTCGACAGCCTCGGAGCCCCACGAAAGAATCTCGAGGCAAGCCCCCCAATCGGGGTCCGCTTCGTCGTCAAAAACAGAGTCCGCGAAAGCGGGGCGACCCCAATAAGGATGGAGCCGATCCCAAGGCCCCCTGGGGATCCCAGCCCGCGGCGAGAAGCGCAGCTATCGCGACCGCCATCACGCCATTACCCCCCCCCCCCGGCGCTGCGACGGGTCAGCAAACGAAGCCGACAGTAGGACAAGGGGCCAAGCCCTTTGCGCGCGACGCCTGAGGAGGCCGGAAGAAGACACGAGCTCAAACCCAAGACTGATGGCACTCACTGGAGGCGCAATGGCTGGGTCCTGGTCCCCATAATCGAGATGCAACGCGATGGTGAGACCCCCCGCCCCCCTCGCCCTGGAAGTGGCAAGCTTGCCCGTGGAACGCCTGAGGTCATTAATTGGCTTCGGGGCGAAGGGATAACCTTAGTCCTACAGGCAAGGCAAAACGAGGCATGACACCAATGGTAGCGACCCTCCTGGCAGCCCGCGATCCAGACGCACCCCTGGCAAGCCTCCGTAGCTTGTTCGCCTGCCACCTAGCAGGCGCCCTTCTGGCACTGGGGGCCCCTCTCGACGACCAGGTCCGCGGCGGCCCCCTGGCTTCTCACTTGGAAGCCCGCGGCGCGGAGGGAAGCAGTGATCTCTGCTGCCAACGTGCGATCAGTAGCGACAGCGGCTGATTTATCAGACAGTGCTACACCATCCCGGGCGACAGCCTGAGCGAAAACAGCCGTTGCCGCAGCGAGGCGCCCGACGATGCATGTTCGGGGCCCCACGGCACGACAATTAACATCATCGACCCAGGTTTTGGCGACCAGCCGTCGGGGGAAAGGGGCCGATGGACTGAGTCGAGGATGGGGTGAGGAAGCGCGGCGGTCCCGTTCTTGGCGCGACGGCAACCGGCCGTGACCCCCAAGACGGGGCTGATCGGATCGCTGGCCGCTGACCTGTCACGGAAGATTCTAGGCCCTGAAAAAGCTGGCTAGACAAGACAAGACCGATGGGTGAGCGCCCCAGGTCGAGACTGCGGCCCATCAGCAAAGCAATGAGGAGGGAGTCGGAACATTTCCACATCACACAAGAGGCTGCCGTGCGCGACGCCCACGGCATCTGCCGCCTCGCCCGCGAAATGACGGGCGACCGCTGCTCTGAGAGCGCCGCCCCCCCCGACGGCTTCGCCCCCCAAAGCCAGCCCGCCTGACCAGCCCATCCCAAGAAAGGTCGTTCTTAGCTCCGCAGGCGGGAGAGCCAGCTCAGAGGGGCGATCGCCCGCTGGCCCCCCTGTCTCCTTCGGGGTCTTGCGTGTGATGGCGGGCGGCAGCTGCCGCGGCCATGCCGGGCCACTCTCGATGCGCTTGAAAAGATTCAAAAGCTCAGCAGCTCCCGGATGTCCCTGGGACCGAGGTTCTCGACCCCCCGGCGTGTCTGGACAGGGATCTGGCGGGGGGCCGCCTGCAGCCCATCGAAGGTTACAACAGAAAGTGTCTCTTCTCTGGCTAGCCTTCGGCCTCGATCGGAAGCAGAGACTCTATCCCACGCCCCGTCGACATTGGGGGCGGACCACCTAGTAAGCCAGCGGGCCCTACGGTGGTGCATGAGCTCCCTCGGGCTACTGGCGCAACCCGTTTCTAAGAGCAACTCCGACTGAACCCTAGGCGGGGGCCTGGGGTGGCGGCGCAGCTTGCCGACCTTCTGCGAAAGGGCCCCCGCGACCCACGTCTTGAATTCGGCGTGCGCAGCGCGGGCAGAGGCCGGCCTAGAACGGGTGGCATTGGCGCGAGAATTCTCTCTGAGAGTCTTCCATTCGGTGGCGGTTAGCCTGTCTGGGTCTCGAAGCCAGATCTGCCAGGGCACTGCCGCCTCGGGGGCGAGGGCCAGCGTGGGCCCGCAAGGGATCGAGCACGCGCGAGCCCTGAGTCTCTGTTTGGCTTCGAGGCCCTGGGGGGGTGGCCTGTCTCCCAACGTCCACTAGGCAGGCCGACGTCTGCCCGGCAGCTGCCAGGTTGGCCATCTCGCCCCACCAGGTGGCGACAGGGTCAACAAAACGAGGTGATTGGCCCTTCCTAGACATGCGCGTGAAACGTGGGGTAGGAGTAGCAACCCCCCCGAAAGAAAAAGATTCCTGGTCTGGTGGGATGTCGCATTGTCTCACATAGAACTTCTCGACGCGATCGATCCAGCTCGAGAAAAGGCGACCTGGCGCGGAGGATTGGGCCGAGAGCCTGATTCCGCAGGAGCCCTGGAAGTAGCCAAGATGGGTGGCGAGAGGCCCTCCGAAGGCAGCTCGCTCCAGATGGCGCACTTCTCCGCGTCCGAGTAGCACTTGGCGGCAGCCTTCGCCTCTCCCTCCTGCTGGGCCAGCGGGCGTCCCCCCCATTCGTGGTGCTCCTGAGCAGGGTCGTCGGGCCCTCGGGCCACCTACCAACGGGGGCAGGTCGGCTCGAGAAGACGGGCAACGCGCGAAATCGGGGCAGCCGACCCCCTCCCTGAGCTCTGACCACCTTTCCTTTCCAAGGGATGCAGCAATGGTCGCGCTAGGCGGCAACCAGAGAGCCACGGGGCAGGCCGGCCTGAGGCAAGGGGCAACAGACGACGCCGAAGCGGATGCCCCCCCCCCCCGAACTTCGAAACCCTCCCCTTCCAAGGGGAACCGCAGTAGCTGAATCAGGCGGCAACCCGAGATCCTCGGGTCGGGTCGGCTCCAGGGGAGGGGTAGCGGATGCTGTGCGCGTAGGCTGACACCCCATGATAGAATGGACCTCGTCTTCGCCCCGTGGAGGCAGCCCTGTTCCGCGCCCCCTGATTGGCGCGAGGGGCGCCCCATCGTTCGACTGGTCCATGGTCGCAGCGCGGCGTGGCGTAGAGGCGCAGAGTGTATTCATTCACTTTCCTCTCCGCCTTCCTGCGACTGAGCTCGCTGTCTGGATCTGGTCCGCACCAGGGCCGAGAAGGATGCGCGAAACGACGTGGCACCTGTAATTCTCGAATCTCGGACAACAGGGTATTGACGTGCAGCTTGAGCCAGATGCCCCAATGATCCCCGCTGGCGTCATCAGCGCAACATTCGTATCCAAGCCGCGACGCGTATTCGGAGACGAAAAGGAAATCCAGCATGTTGTAGGCTGGTCGGTTACATGTCCAGGTCGCGTTCCCAGGCGCGAAGACAGTTCTACCAAACGGCTAGGGCCGTTTGGGCTGCGTGAGAACGGGCGGCGGGACGTTGCAATCAGCTGCGATAGTCCATGTCATTTCCGCGAGCCTCAACAAGGTTCCAAGACAGGTCGGCTTCTCAGCATTTGTGCCACCTAATCTCGAGACAGGTGTGACATACAATGAGATGAAGATCATGTCCCATATTTCTGTGAGTTCGATGGGCACTCGGGCGGAATCCCAAACATCGATGGCACGCCTCCTGACACTTAGCCCTCTAGGCGCATCAGGCCTTCTTCTTGGTCTGGGGTCCTGCAGAGGTCCTTGTGCGAATGGCTCTTGGTATGTCTCCTGGCGCATGTGACAATTCCGCCCGGACGCCCTGGGCGGGGAAACGACAGCCGTCCAACCGTGCGTGTCCATAGCATTGATAATAGCCGAAGAGTCGCCGAAAAGGGTCTCCGCAAAGACCGCTCCCCCAACTCCGTCCTTGACGTCGGTGAGCGCGCTGACTCCCCACGACGTGATATTGCGAACATAGAACGAAATCTGCCTGTCAACTGATGTTGCCTTCTGGCCCCAACTCCCCAGGCGGCCCACCAAACCGTCTCCCCAAAGTGGGGGCGGCCCCGAGTCTCCCTTTTAGCCCCTCTCGGACCGCCGAAGATCCAGCCGCACACTGCAGCCGTCCCAGGTCGGGGACGGCCTTGGGCTGACCATCCGAGCTAGAACCTGAGACCGAGACCGCAGGGCCCCTGGCTGACTCTGCGCTGTCCTGGGCGGGTGGGGCCTTTTTCTCTTGGGGCTGCGCCATCGTGGGTCTTCCTCCTTTTTTTGGCCGAGACGGAGGCGCTGAGCCTCATGCTCCTCCCTGGCCTTCGCACGTGTGGAGGTTGCCTCGGAGCAATGACGCTTAGCTGCGGACTGGAACTGAGAGACCAGGGCCTCCCTGCGTTATTCTGCTTGCTTGAGTTCCACCTCCTCGGTATCCTCATTACCCTCAATTGGGACAACGTCCAACGACCCATCCGGTAGCGCACGGACGGTCAGCTTCGGCTTGGGCAAGGACTGCTCTGATTCCTGTTGGGGCTTGGGTCCGCCGCCGCTGGCCTCCGCCGCCAAGAGGTCATAGCCTGCGTGCAGGACCTTCAGATTCTCTTTGGGAGCCCCGATGTACTCCCAATAGTTGTCTATGTCGCGCTTCCACTTCAAAGGTTGGTCCATGGCTTTGTTGAGCTAGGGTTCCCTTCTGGCCAAGAGCACGCCTGGATGCCGCCAGACGCTGCTCGATGGCTGGCGGCGGCGGCACCCCGTTGAGCACCTTGAGATGTTTGTCGCATAGGTCAACGAACGATTTGTTCCCGATTCTTGCTGGTGGTCTCGCGCATGCTGGCGAATTCGTCTTGGCCTCATGCATCTCGTACTGGGTACTGGAATGCATATCGTCGGGATACTTATCCTGCACCGCTGGCGGTCACCTGGCCCACCTGTTTGGACGCTCGAAATGGGTACGGAAAAAAATGGGCACAATGCCCAACAACCCATGTTGTCCCAAACCTACAGCGGCCGCTGTTGGGCAGGCGGCCTTCTATCTCAAATAGACACAAGCCGCGGCGGCGCGGACAGCGAATCCGGTTCAAAATGAACAGGAACTGCTGTTGGGCATTGTACTCAGTCTGTTCGTACTCACTTCGTTCGTGCTGAACCCGGAGTCGGGAAAAGGTGGACTATATCCCTCGTAGCTGGGACCCCTCGGCTTCCATTCACCACAGTGATTCACCAACGGTACTAATTGGGGCTCTTCCCACGCCCACACGCCGTACACTTCCACAACGGTTCTGCGTAGAACCACAGCATGCGCGTCCAGCCAGTATTCCAAAGAGCACTCTTGTCAGCAAGCGGGAGAGGCTGACTGGCGACCATCTTCCTGGGAAGACAAAGGCCTGGAGGCGCGCGACCGTCGTGATGTTGGCTCGGCCTCAGCAGCGTGGAGCTACACTGAACTGAAGTGGCCGCCAGACAGAAACACTGACAGCTGGCCGCGGACTAGCGGCATCCTCTTTGTTTCCAGGGGAGACCAAAGCCTGGAGCCAAAATGGCTACGGACCGAGAAGGAGGATGATGATGAGGAGGAGGAGGAAGAAAAGGAGGAGGAGGATGTAATGAAGGCTTACAGAGGATGAGGAGGGGGAGTGTTTTGGGGGGCATCTGCAAGAGAGCAATGCCTGACGAGGAGGACGACGAGGAGAAGTTAGTGGAGCAGGAAAAGTGAAGAGCGAAGTTCTTGAAGGCTGGGACATAACTTTCAATGGGGCACTTCTCCTCATAATTTCATCCCTCCTCCCTCTCCCAACGCTCCTCCTCATAATCGACCACCGCCCTTGCAGCGTTTGGTGTGCGTCGGGCCCTGTCGTTTTTTTCCGCGAAGTCCCCAGAAGCGTCCATTCTTATGGCTGAGATCATGCGGTCTTGGCCTTCCATGCAGAAACTGGCCCCAAGTACAAGACTTGGAGCAGGGGCGGTCCATGTACCCTTCCCCTTCCAACCCCTCCCCCCAAGGCGCCCCTCCTCCCCGCCCACCGCCCGCCTGAGCGCGGCGGCGGCATCGCGCAGCAGCACAACTGGATTTCCTTCTCGTCCTATTTCTATTGCGACATCCTCCCCCTCGCGACCTCCTCCCCGGTGCCGTTCCTTAGTCTCCCTCCCGCTCCCGCATTCTCACCAACAAAAACAGAAGAAAGAGAACGGCAAATTCGTGTTGTGTCGACCCTGGCGTTGGTTCCTGACACAGTGGGGATCGCGCAATCTTGAACGATCGGTCGTTCAACATCGACCGATTGTGGGTCGCCGTCGGCGTCCAACGTTGAACGCCAACGCAGGGTCGCCGCCAACCGACACGACGCGAACCGACCGTAACAAAATAGAGCGGCCTGCCTGGCGAAGCTCCCTCTGCTTCGCAACGCCGAAGCACCGTTTGCCGCGGCCGCGACGTCACTGGCGTTCCGCGCTATCTTCATTATGCAAATGGCGTGCCCCCCGCACGCGAGGCACGGGCCACTCAAGTGTACGTCATCGCTTCTAAACGCGAGGCACCTTGAGCCTCAAGTTCGAAGCGGGGGGACACGACAGGGAGCTGGGGGGCGCGGCACGGCGGCGCTGGCCTCGCAGAGAAGAGCAGGGACCCTGAGAGCACTGGCCCTGAGCGCAGTGACGCAGCCAACGCGGCACTGGTGTCGACGGGACCCTCCGCAGAGGTCACGGCCACGCTAGACTTGGCAACTGTGACGGATGCAAGGACGGCCGTGACCGCTGAACACGCACATCGTAATTGCGCTGCGTCGTGTTCTTCTGCTGCTCAAATGGTTGCTGGCGAGCTTGCCCAAAACGATGGGTTCTTGCACTTTCGATGTGCGCCCCAGTGGTGCAATATATTGGATGCAGTGTGGCGCAACCTGTGTGGTGCAACTGGTGTTTGAATAATTTCGAATCGCCAACTCCAATTCTCAAGAGCACATCCCGCCCACTCACCCGCAACTTCATGGCACAAACCAGCTGGCGCAGTGGCGCGGGCGGGCGGTTGATGATGGCGACGACGACCTCAGCGACGACGACGATGATGATGGTGGCGTTGGCGATGGTGACGAGGGCGATGGCAGATGACGATGATGACGATGGTGATAGTGACGAAGCTGGTTATGGAGATGATGGTAATGATGAGAATGGGAATGGTGACGCTGACGATGGAGTGATGATGGTGCTGATGAAGGTGTTGACGAAGTGCGCGCGCCCAGAATCTCTGGAGGATATTTGGATGAACATCTACTTACTGGGCTTTATTTTTCGAGATCTCAACCTTAACATGCTTAGAGCAAGAGAAGGGCCTGCAATGATTCAGACGTGCAAGCGGCGCGGTACGCGCGCGTGTCGCCTGCATTGGAAGTCTGTGACCGACTTGGCGCGTGCGTGATGGGTTAGTGTAGTTGAATACTACTGCTCTGTTATGTGAACAATATTGGTTGTGAAATGACTTTGCCATGTGACCAGGCGCGTGGTCTGCCTGGTATCATTCGGTACATGGTCATTGACACTGCAAAGTACTGCGGGACGGGGGAGATGGGGGGATCGATCAACGTGACTCTGGATGTGAAAATATTGTGTGAAGCAGCGGTCATGCGAACTCAATGTGAATACGAAGCCGTTTATCTTCTCGGCCAGGGCGCTTGGCTTCTCTGCAATGACGTTTGGCCTCCGCGCCCAGGAGGGGGGAGGGGTCTGGGTTCGTGATGAAGTGTGTGGGTGTTTCGAGGGCGTTGGGCAGGAACAACCGGGCCCTTGCTTTATGCCAGGGCGCTGCTTACTTGGGGGGAAGCCGGCTCTAGCTAAGGCCCGTGGTCAATTTCGCCCGCTCACGCAGTTTCGCCTCGCCCGTAGGCGCGACTTGCTCGACAGAAGACGACATCGGAATCGATGTCCTGGTTGCACTCAAAGCGTTATCATCCGCAGACTCCGAAATGTACATACATACATATATATAGAGATATATACACATAGCCCCTCATGTAGCACATAGGTCGGTTCCTCTTCAGAGGCTTCATATATGGACGCCGCAGCCCATGGTTGCTTCTAGGGAAAGCTACGGACGTCACTACAGAACAATGCGTTCTGGTTGCGATCGCCACGTGGTAGTAAACATAGGGTAGCATTACTACTGCGAAGATGCTCTTGCAACATGCAACGTTCGAGTCAACTGACTACGCATTTTTGCTGGATCAGAGTGGCAAGGCCACAGGTGCAGCAGAGGCGTCCCAGCAATCGTGATTGCACTCCCAACTGAAAAATCCACAACCCTGCTTCTCGTGAGCGCACGTGAAGAAATACCGGCCATTCGTGGGGCCTGGCTTGAGAACGCGCCTCAACAGAGCCTTCCTGCGCTTATCAAGCGTGCAGCGACAACTGGGAAAGCGATCGTCTGCCCAAATGAAGGCGCCACAACTCTGCGATTGATGCTTTGGACAAGACCAAAAGAGTCGGCCGTGATTCGGGCCAGACTTGCGCACGCGCTGCAGCTTCCCGGCCGGGCTGCAGCGGCAGCTCGGTGCGGCGAGGCGCAAACCATCACGCCCGACGGCGGTGGCATGAACGGGTTTCTTGGTCGGGATGGCACCTGCAAGTGGACTCGCTGGCGGCCGTTTCTGCACACGCATCCTGCTACTGGTGCGCTCGCCGCTGCTGCACCCTCCCGCGCCAAACTCCCGAGGCCCAAGGCAAGCGGCGCAGGACCGTACCGCAGCGGCGTTCAGGAGGGTGCACTGGGCGCACACCCAATCCAACTTGGCGTCCACGCGCGCCACCGCTGAGCGTGGCTCGTCTTCCTCGGCACCGTGCTCTATATTGACCACGACCACGGCGTCGCCAGCGGCATCGGCAGGGCTACCTGCGGGCAACATTTGTATCCAGATCCACTGCGTCTTGGAGTTTCGGATTCTCTTTCACACGAATCAGAGGCGCAGTGGATATGGTTGAACGTCTGGCCCCGAGTGGCCAGATGTTTATCAATCCCACCAGCCCTCTGGGCGAGGTGGTCTAGGGCGCTTCCTCTTCCAACCCCCTTCCTTCCCCTTCAGGGAGGGGTTGATCACTCCTCCCCATTAACAATTACTCAATATGAATACTACTCTCCCTCGTCCCCTGATGACGGCCTGGGAGTGTCCGACCCCCCCCCCGCGTATTGTTTTTTACACACAGGTTTCCCCAGAGTTGGGTTTTCGCATGCATGTGTTTCCAAAATGCTGCTCTCGCTGAGGCGCCCGCCTCATTTTCATGCCCCGCTCGTTCCGAATCGTGCTCCCGCTGCAGCGCTGGCCTCATGTCCGTGCTTCCGCTCGTTCCGAATCGTGCTCCCGCTGCAGCGCTGGCGTCATTTCCGCGCTTCCGCTCGTTTCGACTCGTGCTCCCGCTGCAGCGCTGGCGTCATTTCCCGTGCCATGCCACGGCGTGCAATGCAATGCTAGGTTGATACTACGCTTTGCGATGCTCTTCTACGCCATGCCATGCGTGCTCTACAATGCATCGCGTACCCTTTCAGAATCATTGCCCTGCTCGACATCCGACTGTGCGAGTAGAGAGGGGATCTGCGCCATGGTAAGGGATGGGAGGGAGGGGTAGGATGTCAGATATGACGCGAGCGCACCTAGCTTGAAATACACCCCCTCCCCCAGGCGACCGGCAACCAACCAGGAACAATGATGACACCATGGTCCCACCCCCACCATTCCTCTCAAAACCAATACAACACGCACTCTGCCTCCACATTCGGAGAATGCGCAACCAACCCGATGCGGCCACCCCTCACCATCCCTGCCAAAAAACAATGCAAAGTACACCTTGGGTCAAAGTCTAGAATCATAATCGTGAGGCGTGCGAACACTTTGTCTATTTTTTGACACGGACGGCAGGGGTGTCAGCATATTGTCTGCTGTGCGCAGGGCCACCACCCCGATCAAACACAATACAAAATGCACCTCGCGGATGAATCTGAACCGTGCGCAGCCACCCCGCGATCACTGCGAAGTGGTCTTTACAACAGGACCACCAAACACAATGATGGGCATTGGTTTTCGACACGGATGGTGGGGGCCGACATGTTTCCCGATATGCGCTGCCACGTGCGCACGAGCACCTGACACATTCTGCACGTGTGCACGTGCCCCGAACGTGGCGCACCTGGCGCGGCTGTAGTATGCAGCACACCTGGCGCACGTGGCGCATCTGGTGCACCAGACGTGCCTGACACGCTCGGGCCCAAGCATCGCGCACATGGGGTCGGTGTTGGTTCCCAGTAACTGCCGCCCCCCATCCAAAGACGAGCGCTGAACATGCTAAGGCTCGGGTGTTACTTATGTGTTGGGAGGGCGAACGGGAGTAAGCTAGACGGCTTGCTATACTGGAGGGGGTCCTGACCCACCTCCCTACAACCTTTCCTGGACCTGGACGGGGCGGTTCTCCCATAGGTGGAGTGTCCAAGATGGCCCATGATGGCTCCAAGAGGGCTTCGGGGAGCCCAAGGTGACTTCCAAGATGGCTCAAGATATCCCAAGATGCGTCAAGATGGCTCCACAGATGCTCCAAGAGGCTTCAAGGACGCTCCAAGACGGCCCCAAGTGACCAAAGAGCATCCCAAGGAGGCCCCTAAGAAGCCAACGCCCTTCAAACACCGAACGACTGTTGCATCGTCGCCCGTTCGCTGCCGAAAGCCTTCCGAGGCCTCAAGACTGCTCCAAGATGGCCCAAGAGGGCTCCAAGAGAGGCCCAAGAGAGCCCCGAGACGGCCCCAAGAGCGCCCAAGATCGCTCCAAGAGCGCCCCAAGTGCGGCCTAAAAGACCGGTTCCCGAGGGGCAGCGCTGATCGGAGCCCCTCTCTTTTTGACCCACGTTCCCCAACATGACTCCCCAAAAACGCACCAAAGCCCCCAAGGGCGCTCAAAAAAGGCCCCAAGAGGCGACCAGACGGCCACCAGAGGCCTCCAAGAGGCTCCGAAGAGACCCCCAAGAGGCCTCAAGAGGATCCCCAAGGCACCCAAGACGCTCAAAGACGGCTCAAGATGCACCCAAGACGCTCCAAGAGGCCCCCGAAAAACTACCAGGAGACTCCGAGAGGCATTTAAGAAGATTGAGGCTCTTCTGTTAGCCGTCTTCTTCCTCTTCCTCATCCACCTATTCCTCCTCCTCCTCCTCCTCCTCCTCCTCCTCCTCCTCCTCCTCTCTCCTCCCTCTTCCCCCTCCCCCTCCTCCTCCTCCTCCTCATCTTCCTTCTTCTCCTTCTCCTCCTTCTCGTCGTCCTCGTCCTCGCCCTACTCCATCTCCACCTCCTCCTAATTGTCCTCCTCCTCCTCCTCCTCCAACGACGGAGATTCCTCCTCCCTCCATCCCCATTCTCTTGGGGAATATGACGGCTTCCCCCGCCCTTTGTTCTTGTGCATGCTCCCTCGCTTCCCTGATCACTTCAACTCACCTGGGCATCGTTTCTGCATGGTCTGGCGGCGATACGCAAAGCGTCAACATCATCCACTGCGCCTCGGCATTTTGGCGCCCCTTCACAAAAAGTTCAAGACGCAATGGATATGGATATAACGCTTGCCCGCACTACCGACGCGGATGCTGTTGCCGTGCCGAAGCCAACCCAGCAACGAGTCGCCTCGCGGAGCGATGCTCGGCGTCAGGCTCTTCGCCCGCGACTGGCAGCTCGGGCAGAAATAGGTGATGCGGTTCTTCTCGCCCGCGCGCACTAGCCCGACCTGCGCGCCGCAGGAGCACACCGTCACGCCGTAAACGCGCTTCGCGATGCCGACTCCCCGGCGGCAGGCCTCGTGCCAGCGCTGCGCGAACGCCCGCACGACGTCGACCAGCAGGCCCAGCCGCGCGTCTGGCAGCTCAGACAATACGATGGTGGGCGACACGCCGGCCTCGTGAAGGCCTTCGCACTTGATGACATTGCCGACGCCCGGGAAGGAAGCCTGGTCCATGAGCGCGTCGAAAGCGGGGCGGGTGTCCGTGCGCAGCAGGTCCATCACGGCCCGCCTGTCGAACTCCTTCGCGATGACGTCCCGACCCTTGCGGGCCTCGACGGTCGCCAAATAGCCCAGCGTGCGAACAGAGGGCGTGCCGCAGTCGTACAAGTCCACGGCGCACTGCTCCAGCTCCAGCGTCAGCGTGAGGGTCTTGCGGCTGCCACGGGGCAGTGGCTGCTGCGAGCCGCTGCGGACGATCTGACTCCCCGACATTCCGTAGTGCAGTCTCAGGGCGCAGTCCGCAAAGACGCAGAAACACTCCTTGCCCACCACCGCGATGACAGAAGGCAAGAGACAGACTGCACAACGATGAAATTCGGACGCCCGCGCATGCTCCTTTTGTTCCGCGCACCCTTCTCCACACCCTCCCCTCTGCGGTGGGGAACTTTTGCTTAGCGTGTCGCGGCTGCGGCCCCGGCGACACGCGATGCCTTGCAAGCGGATAGCCTGTCGCTCCGCTCCGCGGGGCGGAGAGCTGGGAAAGGCTCGGGACGTTGAAGCCTGGGGACTAGAAAGCGGATAACGCGTCGCGCGGAAGCGTGGTGAGCCAGAACCGGAGGAGCGACACGCTAAGCCAAAATTCCTGGCCGAAAGTGGCGCGTGGAGCCAGCGGGGTGCAGCGCAGGAGGCGCCGCCAGCGGTGCGGTGCGGGGTGGGGGGGGGGCCAGCGCTGCTCCAAGAAATGCGCGCCGTCGTCTAACAACTTGTGTTTGTGCTGCTGTGTCTTGCCTTCGGGATGCGGAGTATCGGACCAGCAGCCGTGAGACGCGCTGCCAGGCCCGCGTCGCCCGCCTGGATGCGGGTCACGCGCTGCCCTACCACGCGCGCGCTGGCCAGCTGCCGCGCCTTGAGGTGGCACTGCGGCCCCTCGACCATGGCTCTGGTGGGGGCGCTCGCGGGCGTCGGACGCCCGATCTGGCCGAGGTGGTTTGGCCGAAACGGCTGCTGCAGCTACCTGGCGGCTTCCAGATTCCCTGAACCTCAGAAAATGATGCTTCCGCCGCCTTCCACCGAGCTTCCGCTGGCGAAGCCACCTCCCCCACCCGTCTTAACGACTTCCACCGCCCCCGCCCAGCAAGAAATGACACCTCCTTCGACCCGCGGAGGCGGGCCCCCTCCTGGAGCGCCCGAGTTGGCTTGGCCTGGCAATCTCCCGTGCGTGCCTCCCTGGAGCGCCCGGTGCTTGGGGCCCGGGGGACAGCGGTTGTCAGGAGTCTGTCGGAGGACGAATGAAGAAGAAGACCCGATATAATAGGGTAGGATCGGAGTCGGCCTTGCGCGTATGGGGTGTGACATGAGGCCGGACAATATGCTGTGAGACGCTCGTGCACAGTTCCTACCTCACACGTTCGCATATGTGCTACACGTAGTGCGTGGTAACGCACGCCGTGCAGGCTGCAGGCAGTACAAACTGGTATGCGCAGGCTGGGGGGAGTACCCCTCTGGGAGGAGGAGGAGGAGGAGGAGGAGGAGGAGGAGGAGGAGGAGGAGGAGGAGGAAGAGGAGAAGAAGGAGGAGAAGGAGGGGTGAACCGAACCCAGTAAACCGAGGTTCAATACACAGGAAGTCAGCATCAAGAGCGGTTCCCCAGGGTTAACAGCCACGCGAGCAGCAGCAGGCCAAGAACAGTGGGAATGATGTCGGGAGCCAGAGCCCTAGAGCCTCCCCTTGTAGAGAACAATGGCGTTTCGGAATCTGTATCGTCCGGCCGTCCTCTGCGTCCTCTTCGGAACAGGGGCGGGCAACCGGGCCCCTGCCAGCAGGCTATTGCATAACCATCTCGTTCGCAGGCGCCGAGCTGGCTGCGGCGGCTGCCAGGTTCGCACAAACGACCTGCGGATACCGCCGGGCACAGATCCTGGGCCACCACATTCACGAAGAAGCCTGTGCATTTCCCCTCCAGTTGGGTATCCAGGGTAGGTGGCCACATGTGAGCCCTACCCCACCCCTCACGACTTCTAAGGGGGGGGTGGGGCTCACTCCGCTCGGGAGCTCCCGAATGAAGTGATACCTTACCCCCCCCTTCGAAGTCGTGGGTGGTGGTGGTGGTGGTAGGATTTACATGTGGCCACCGACACGGGTCTGTGTTGGTCCTTGGGACCGCCACGGCAGCCCGACCTGAAGCGCAGGTCCCTAGGGACTGCCTGAATGGTGCAGGCGGTGCGCGCGAGGCTTCAGAAGAGAAAGCGGCATAAACATAGATTGTTGGAGGTCTGCGCGAAATCCTCCTGGGATCTGCGCTGAACCCTTCTCCCTGGCGCGCGGAGATGGCAAGGGGATTCCAGCGCTAACCCAAGAAACCTGCGCAGAGCTCAAACATTCATGTTTGCACTTTTTGTCATGCTCGGTGTCTCTCTATTTCCTGGGGCCACCAGGGGCCCCCTCGAAGTCACACGCGCGCCACAAGCGGCAGGCTGTCGGCCGAGCGGGGCGGCTGGACCTTTGGCCCGCCCGCACCGCTCAGCGCTCCTCCGAGCTCGGCGCTCCCGCCGAGCTTGGGCAGCCTGTCCGTGGAGGCCTTGGCCGAATGGATGTCGCCCTCGGAAGCGAACGTGCTCAGCGACGCCGTGTTGGCGCTGCCCCAGCTCGCCTTCGTCAGGCGTGCGCTGCCCGGCGGCGACCTCTGCCGCTCGGCGGGCCTGCGCACCTGGCGCGCGGACATCACCTGCTGCTCCTTCACCGGGGCCATCGCCTGCGACGCGCCCCGCACCATCGGGGGCGGCTGCGACACGGGCGGCATCGCCTCGTGCGGGTGCGTGTGCTCCAGCGTGGCCGTGGTCAGCCTGCAGGTGTCCCAGCCCTGGGGCGAGGTCTTGTGGGTGATCCAGTGGCGGACGCTCTTCAGCTCCTCCAGGATGTCCCGCTCGCTCGCGAGCCTCTGGCTCCGCGAGCCACCGAGCTTCGGCTCTTGCAGCACCAGGTGTGCGAGCCACACGACTCCCATGGCCAGGGCGTTGAGCTGCTCGGTCAGAAGCGTCTGGTTGCGCCCTATCGCTACGCCTGCCGTGGGAGCAGCAGGGTACCGATACCGCCTCCGAACAGGACTCGAAGGACAACCCGAGCATGGCGGTGAGGACCCCCCAGGACGCTACAAAAGGCGAAAAACAGGGGATGGCGTCGACATCGGTGTGCGTTCCTTCCCCGAGTTCTGTGCGGTCTCGGCCACAATTCGCTCTACAAGTAACCTCGTCTGGAGTCACTCCCGGATCGATTCCTGACTGGAATAGGGACTGGGGCCCAAATCAGCCCTCCAGGCACGGAACGTTACGAAACACCTGTTCGAATATCCTCTCCCTTTCTCCTTCTTCTCTCCTAGCATCGGCATCGGTACTAGAATGGTCTTCTCCTCCGACCAGTCTCGGGATGCGTGCCGTCCAGAATTTCGAGCCACCGGTTGCGACGCGAGGCCCCGAACACATCGGCATCTGCTGGGGGACGTCAACCATACATCTCACCGGCCCTGGCCGGGCCGATCCATGACCCATCATCGGTGTGTGTATGTCTGTATGTATGTCTGTCTGCCTGCCTGCCTGTCTGTCTGTCTGTCTGTCTGTCTGTCTGTCTGTCTGTCTGTCTGTCTGTCTGTCTGTCTGTCTGTCTGTCTGTCTGTCTGTAAGTATGTATGCTTGTATGTATGCATACCTGTATGTATGTACACAAGTATGTGTGTGTATGTATCGCAACTTCCACGTTCCGACAGCCAGGCAATGGCAGTTCTATGGGAGAAGCAGAGCGCGGCCTCGGGACGCCAACAACTGTCGACAGAAGTGCGCTGGCAGAGCCGCACACCATCAGATACCTGCAGAGCACTGCATGTAGGTAGCGAGAGAGAAAAAAACGAGGGAGGAGAGGAGGGGAGACTTGAACGAGACTGCAGCGGGTGCCAGCAGGTGCGGCTCCTTCGCCGTGGGTCGCAACATCAACTCGTATAACGGGGAAGTAGCGGACCGAGGCCTCGGGACACCGGCAACTGTCGAGAGACGTGTGCAGGCAGAGCCGCACACCATCAGAGACGTACATAGCACCGCCCGCAGAGCAGACCTGGCAACGGACCGTGGCTGCCACGACATCGCGTACAAACTTACCAAGCACACGCCTTCACAAACAAAATCCCGAGATGGAAAATGATGTCGTTTCCAAAAGCGAAACCCGCATCACAACATATCCCTTCAGAGCATTGACGGAATATACCAGGGCCCTCGCCGCATCACGAGCAAACGATGGGGAAGGAGAAGGCCGCGGTCAACTCTGCACGCCGGGCAGGGGCGCCTCTGTCCCGAACCTGGAGGATGACATGCGGAAGACGAGGCGCAGCGGCAACGGTGCCCCGAGCAAGACTTACAACACTTTGGGGAGATACCAGCATTCAAGAAGGCCACCGTAGTGGGCTTCTTGAAGGGGCCCCGAATGGGCCGACACGTAGGATGAGCCAGCACCTTGCACAAAGCAGGGGAGTGCCACATCAAAGAGTCTCGGGAGCTCACCAGAAACAAAAAACGGGGCAACCGATTTGCATGCAGAGACGGATAGCTCGACAAGAGAAAACAAAATGATGGCAGCCGGGGAGGAGGCGCTACAACTGAGGGCCCTCCAAGCCAGGCTTACCCATGGGAAAGCGAACAGAGCGAAGCGACCCCTCAATGCCTGCGACCACGAAGTACAAAGCGTTCCGAACCACGCGGCGACGACGGCCTTGGAGAGCAACCAGCCTCGGAAGACGGCCTCAAGCGTGCTGGAAGTACTGTCCTCGGCCGCGTCTCCCGCGATGTCGAGGTCCATGGCGCCGCGACCCAAGTGCTTGATGCGGAGGGCCGCGCGGCCGCGCTCCGCGAAGAGCTCGAAGCCCCTCCACTTGTCCGAGCCGCTCCTGGCACCCTGGCAGCGCTGGTGCAGGCGCGGCCGCGCCTCCACGGGCGACGCCGACGGCAAGGCCACCCGCCCCGGGCGAGGGGGGCCGCAACCAGGCCGCCGCGGAGCCGACAGCGGGCCAGCGGGACTGCGGCGGCCGCGAGCGGGAGGCGCGGGCCTCTGGGAGGCTCTGCCGCCGCGCTGGCCGCCCCGCTGTCCCCTGGGACGCGCATCAGCTGGCCAGGGCGGCCGCGGCTGGGTCGTTCGTCACGGTCCTACGGCGGAAGCGCAAGTGCTCGGGCAGCAGCCTGTTCAAGGCGGGGTCGCGGTAGATCCGCAGGTCCAGGAGGCCGACCGCGAGGGCGGCGTCCGCACAGAGCCGAGCAATCCTCACAGGCGGGGAAGACCCCGAGGGAAGCGCCTCCCCTCGCGACCATTCGTGCCGCGGGCTGCGCGACCAGCAGCCAAGATGCCCAGCGGAGCCGCGTCAACCCACGCAACGCGTCGAGCTCGTTGAGGGGCCGGAGGTCTTCGAGGAACAGGATGAGCTCCCACGCGGGCAGCCGGGGGGGCCAGGGGCACCCCCGCCGACGGCAGGCGGACGCAGAGGCTCACCGACGGGCGCGCCAGGGCCGTCCGCAAGTGCAAGCGAGGTGTGGAGCGGCCAAGGACTGGCCGCACCGGCGGGCGCAAGCCCCTGCGCGTCGCCCAACCTCCAGCCCGCATTGGGCGCCTGCAGCCCGTCCGCGCCAGCGCCTGCGAGCGCGCGGCCGCCCAGACTGCCCGCCGAGCAAGCGGGCCGCCGAGGACGATGCACAGCAGGTAGAACAGGCGGAGCGCCCTCTGGTCCAGCGCGGTGACCGCTTGCGCCCGCTCTGGGGGATGGCCCGCCCGACCTCGTGCCGTCGCCCTGCTGGGTGACTGCGACCCGGCGCGGGCGGGGCGCGCGAGCAGCGGCGTGGGGGGTTGTCGCCGCCAGCGCGTTGCAGGCCCGGAGCTGTGAAGCGGCGGGGGCCCGCGAACCAGCCCCGTATACGCCCTCGAGACAAAGCGTCGGCGGGATTGAACTCGCTCCAAGTCTAGCAAATACTCGCGACGTGGTTGGAATATGAAGATAACGCGCGCAGCTTCTGAAGAGCACCGCCCTGCCCTTGCACCGCCCCAGGGCGAGAGGCGCGCCGTCAACGAACAGCGGCAGGTGTCTCCAAAAGGACGTGGCGGACCTCAATCTAAGCTTGATCCCCACGACGCAGGCGTCGCCCTCCAAGGCCAGGGCGCTGTCGGGCACCGGGGCCCTGGACCAGGAGCTCTCCCGGGTGCGCCCTGATGCAAGACTCGAGGCCCAAAGCGTCCAGGTCGTGCCGCCCCGCAGGCAGCGAAGCTGTGCCCGATGGAGCAGGGGAGGGGAGAGGCTGAGACCCGAGCGCCCTCGTTTTCAGCATCAGCCGCACGATGCCGCTGGCACTGATGTTGTCAACCATGCCTGGCCGCCTCGCGCGGCGGCGCGGGCCGCGTCGCAACCCCGACGCCGAACTCCGAGGCGTCGCTCACTCCGACCAGTCCGCGCCAATGGCCGCCCAGGTCCTTCTGCAAGAGCGGGGGCAGCGCGCTCGCCAACTCCAGCTCCGCACTGACTGCCAGGACGTGGTGGAGGCATTCCAGGCGACGCATGGGCTAGACGGCGCTGGGGGCGCAATGCGACTCACCGCAGATGAGGCAAGGCCAAATTAAGTGGCCAACTTGCACCTCTTGCTAGAGCTGCGCCCCCGGCGGAGCAAGGTGTCCAGTGCCGCCCGGAGCGTCCAGATGTTGTGGCGATTGACCAGCAGCCGGCGCCCTTTCCTCAGCTTCAGCCCGACCAAGACGGGGTCCAACGAGGCGTCGGTCTCCTCGTGGACAGTGGGCCCCCGTCCCTGCAGGATGGACGAGATCTGATCGCGCTTGCGCGTCACTAGGTTTGGGGCGTGCTCCATCGCGTAGATGCTATCTACGTAACCCGCCGCAGCGGTAGAGACCGTGTCCAAGAGGGGCACGCCACTGCGCCCGTCCTCGGCGATCTGGCCCTCCTCGAAGCCCGCAAGAGGGCTGGCCTGTATGGTGACTGCCTGGCACAAGTGCACAGCCCACGACCAGTTCATGGGAAGGATGGTGGGGCAAGGGGTCAAGCTGGCCCCGGCGAGGATGATCAGCCCGTCGAGCCCGGTCACGCCCTCGAGGGCGGAGGACAGGGCTGGCAAGATAAAGTAGTCCGAAAGCCCGTCCATGGGCCTGAGACCATAGAAGGCATTGTCTAGATCCCCCGCGGCCAAATACAGAGGGAGGTCGCCCGCCTCTGCAGAGGACATGCTGGCCGCGTCGGAAGCCGCGCCGGAGGGGCACATTGAACACAAAACGGATTAGCGTACCTGGTGTCGAAGACGATCTACTGCCGACCCGACTTCTTCTGCACAAGAAACATGTCGATCATGTGCATGGAAGAGGACGCCACCTGAAACCGCAACATCCCATAACGATGGACATGCCAGACAAACTCACCGTACAACATCAGATCCTGGGCCAACCTGGGGTCCACGACGAACGGACCAGCGGGCAAGCATGTCGGGCGCCGACCGGAGCCACGTCAGGCGTCTTGAGCACATGATGTCACCAATCCTGAGCCCAATCAGCAACGTCCTGAGATATACAGTCCACCAAGTTTACTGGGCTAGCATCCACCCCATGACACGTGACCAGCTCCTCAAGGTAGCAGTCCTCAGAAAGCATGACGCTGGACTGCTGGCTGAGGTTGAGGGGCGAAGACGGGAGCTCACCAGTGCGACTGTAAAGGCAATTGAGCGCGTCGATGCCGTTGCCGTCGTTGGGCCCAGCGCAGGAGGTAGTCCGCACGGCGGCTGCGCTCAGCCCTACAAGGGCGGCGAGTCGAAGTCGCGTGGAGCCGTCGGGCCACCTGAGGGAGAGAGAAGAGATCCCGATGACGAGGGTCGTCGGTGGCGGCGCGGCAGCGTGGCCACGAGCAAGGGCCAGCGTCTGGAGTTCCGAGGCGGCGGGTGGCCCGAATGATCGCCGCCCACTCCTCCTCGCCCCTGCACTGGGGGGTGACGTGGAAGAGCTTCGGATCGTTGGGGTATCGCGCAGCCATCCTCACCCCCTCACATGCCGACGCGTCATCCTCGTTCCGGTGCGGGCCAGAGTAGATCACGACCGGGGGGAGTACGCACACAACGCCGTCACCGACGGGGGGGGCGTAGACGAGGTGGGAGTTATGTGACTCGTCGGCCGTGACGGTGAACCTCTCGCGCCGCTCCTCAGCCAGCCCGCGGACATTGGAAAATACCACCTGGATGGCGCTGCTGTCCGGCACGGGCAGCCGATCAAAACACACCATCCGCTCCGTGAAGCAGCCCGTCGCCTGATGGTCAGCCTCGCCCCCACGCACACGGGCGATGAGTGTGACCTCGTCCGTGATCCCGTACGACGTCGGAGAACGGCCATCAGCCAAGATCACCCCCAGAGGGCCGCTAGGACCATGTCGAAAAGCGACACATCGTGGTCGGTCGCGATGAGGCACCTGAGCACCTCGACCTGCGCCGCGCCCACGATGCTTTGTGCAGGCGCCCCGGACAGCCCGGGAAATCCCGCGCCGGGACGGCGCCGCGGTGTGACGGAGCCGAGCAGCCAGCCCGGCCGCGAGGGCCCCCGCTGGCTCCTCGGACTGCCCCTCGGCCGCGGCCACCTCCCAGCTGCTGTCACCGTGGCCCGCCATGGACCGACAGAGGAGCTAGCGAGAGTGAGCGAGAGGCGAGAGTGGGGCGCGTCCCCTGACAGCGATCAGCGCACTCGTGCAAACTTTGAGACGACACGTACCCACCCACGCGGAGGTCGCTCTAGACTTGAGCGAGATGACAGCGGGTGCGGATAGGTGGGGCCCCCTGCGACGTGGGACGCAGCATCAACTTGCAAAACCTAACAATAACATTGTAATTGTATGCATCCCGGGGCAGTCGAGGAGGGCGTACACACCGATCCTGGGCCCAGGATAGACCTGGCCAGGGCCAGTGGGGTGGATAGTAGTTCACGTCCACTGATCTATTTCGCCCCCGCTCTCCGGGGCCCGCCGCCTTCTGCCGAGCTGCAATGGCGGACCCACCGCCATCATGCTGCCGCCGCCTTCCGCCGCCGAAAGCAAGATGCGCCAAACGAGAGGCCCTTTCCTGGAGCGCCCAGTTCCCTGAGATCGGAGGTCACGAAACCCCAGACCCGGTCTTCTTGCGGCACTCCTCGAGTCGGATCGATCCGCGAGGGCCCGAAGCCTGGCGAACACGACCAGTGCGAAAAAGCGGCGACTATGGTCTCAGGTATGTCTCTCCCCCCCCCACGGGCCTGCGTCGCCTTCGCCGTGCCCGAGGTTCCCGGGCGAGCGGCCGGCGCTGCCGGGGCCGTTCCTCGGGCTGTCCCTGGGAGCGCGCTCACGTCCGGCCGCGGCGGGCTTGCCCCTGCTGGCGCCGGACCCCGAGATCAGCCCGAAGGCTTCGATCTTGCCCTCCTAGCGCAGCAGGCATGGATACGCCACCACTGTGCCTGGCCAGGGCCATCCTGGGCGCGGGCATGTCGTATACGTCGTCCTGGCTTGGGCCAGGACCGTCTATGCACCATCCTGCGGCGCAGGATGGCCCTGGCCAGGCACAGCTGGCCTTCGTAGGGGCGAACGGCGCGCGAGAACGGATGAATTATCGACGTCCAGGACGTTCGGACGGGCGAGAGCAGGGAACCCCGTTTGGCCTCCAAATCTGGTAGAAAAAACGGCGCGCTCCCCCAAAGTGCCGACCGCAGCATTTAACATTCTGTTCAAAACCGAGACATCTCGGGCCGTGAGCAGGGATCCACATTCACGGCCTCGCGGTCTAGACTCCCCGGCCGAGACGCCACGGATGCAGGGCGGCTCTGCGCCGGCGCCTCGCGCGGAAGGAGTATCCATGGGATCGCGCCCCCGTTCCAAAATTCGAAGGGCATGGCTGTGGAATGCTGACGTTTTCGTTTATCGTGGGGCCTGCCACTCCAGCAGCTGGCGCAGCTCACTAGTCTCCCGCACGAAATCGTCCTTGAGAACGCTCGTGTCGATCTGGCGCTGGCAGGCCAGGATGTCGTACTTCGTGCAGCGGTTTTCGATCTCCTCGGCATGATGCCGCAGGCAATGCTCGTGGTCGTTGATGGACTCGTGAATCTTGGCGAAATGGTCCACAAATTGGTTAAGCTTGCCAACTGCCGTCTGCCGCAACCCGTCGAAATCGCCCCAGAGCTCGCCAATACTGCCGCTAAGTGCCGTCTCAAGTTTGGACGCCTCATCTCTCTTGAAGCAGGTGTCTAAATCTTCTCGGATCTGGTCTGTAGTGTTCCTGGTGCTGTTCTTGAAATTGTCGAGGGACTTCTCGACAACACGTATCTGCCTCTTTAGTTCAACGGCCTGTTTGCCCATCCCCTCCTCCACCGCACTCAATCTGGAAAGAGTGTGCCCGAGCTCGTTCCAGAGCGGTTGCACAAGCATCTTTTCGACCATGTCTACCACCTTCTTCTGAAGCGCCCCCTTACCACCTGCGGCCCCCGCTCTCTCGCCGATCGAGGTTGTACCAGACATCTGCCCGAGTGATAAACGCCCTAATTTGGAACCAGAGCGTTCGGCCGCCACAAATTCCCCTGAGGGCCGGTCATCCTGACCCGCGCGCTCCCAATCCTGGTTGGCAAGGCTTGGGGCTGCACACAGACTGCCTCGATCCAAAGGCCGCACCTGCTGGAATCCCAGGCCTGTCCAATCGGGGCGCCACCAGAGGCGGCGCGGTGCAGTGGGACCCCCCTGGCAACCCTCGGCCCCAGGTTTTCCCTCTGAGCTCGTACAGCGGCGGAGACCGCTCGGCCTCCAGCTGGGCAGCCGAGTGGGCTCAGTCCCAAGATGCTGGCTGCTGGCACTGAGCCCGTTCGACGGCCGAGTGGGCTCAATCCTGGGTCCCTTCGGCTGCCGAAGAAGCTCAGACGCCGAATGGGCTCAGAAGGGGGACCCGTGGGCAGCCCTCGGGGCCTCTCGAGGCCAGACTCGGGGCCTCTTAGAACGCCATCCGCACATCGACACCGATCCTGACTGGGCGCACCCTGGGCCGAGGATCGGTTAGGGGGCCACATGCGAACCCTACCCCTACCCCCCACGATTTCTGATGGGGAGGGTGGGGTTCACTTCGTCCAGGAGCTCCCGAGCGAAGTGAACCCCACCCTCCCCCTCAGAAATCGTGAGGGGTAGGGGTAGGGTTCGCATGTGTCCCCCTATCGGTGTAACGGCACGCCGTCCTGGCGCAGCCAGGCGGGCGAAGTTACAACTAATTACCTCCGACGCTGTGATGAAGGTGCACTTCAGCCAATGGGCCCCAGAACCTCCCGGGCAGCGGAAGTGGCCCCTGGGAGGCCGAACTCGAGGACAGACGCCGGGACCGAACAGAACACAGCATCGGAGGTCAGGGTATACACCAGTCCTGGGCCCGGGACTGGTCTGGCGAGGTTCCGATCGAGGCTCCAATCGCGAGGCTTCTGGGTGCCCAAAATATGCGCCAGCAGGCGCGTGCATGCGCAGAGGGAGGAGGGCAAGGAGGAGGACGAGGAAAGGAGGAAGAGGAGGGACCGTGGCCATTTTGGCCCAAGAGTATACAATAGGTATTGTCATTGCTTTCTGAGCTACGTGTTTTATAAACGTCCAGCACGACACACTTCGCTGGCCACAGAGCTGACGGATGTTTCTCTGTTAACTTCTTGCTTGGCGCTTTGCGACGTCTCGGCACGACGCACAATATCAACATCAACAATTCGACCCCTTCCGCCCAGGCTGCCTACTCGCTTGTCGCGCTGGGGACGGAGCTCGTGCATGGCAACCCCACTGTCCCAACAGACAACATCTTACATGAGCGGACCACAGACTTCGAGTGATCCGCCGCCCTTTAGCGTGCCCTGGAGACCCAGTGCGGGATACGACATCACCCACAGATCATTGAAGACATCGCTGGACCTGGTGGCTGAGCGCTGAGTGTTTGGTCCTCAGGCGCTACGGCGACTGGAACACGTGGTCAAATGTGGGCACGCTGCGCGGCACCAGCGCTGGCCTCGCCCCTCGGGCGTCTGGACGTGGCGGCCGAAAGCTCCGCCTGGCTGCCGGTCGCGTCCCTGCGTCCAGAGGACCCCACCGACCGCAGGTACGGCAACGCCAGCGCTGGCTGCTGGAGCAACCTCAGACCGGAAGCACCAGAGGTCGTGCCGCACTCGCTGCTGCGCCCCAGGGTGGCACACCTTCCGACCCATGCCGTGCAGGCAGCAGCGGAGGCGGCACTTAACATGGCAGCGGACCGCGTGAGACGGGAACCCGACAGGCAGGCAGCACCACTTCTACGACAACCACCACTCCCACTCACAATATGCGAGGAGTGCGCCAGCCTCTCGCCGATTTCCCTACAGACGCGGCTATCCCATACTGATGGCAATACTCAGGCCTCGGCGCCCACTCCTTCAGCACAACCTCCCGCACCAGAAGCAGGGGGCACCGAGCCGACGTGGGCCGTCGACGCAGCCGCGGAGGGCGCCCAGCTGGAGCCTACGCTGCGAGCGGCGACCGCCTCGACCTCCGCGGCGGCCGCGCGAGCCACCGGGGCCGCGGAGGGCCCTCGGCTCCCAGGGAGCAGCAGGCGGGAGCAGGCCGCCAGGCAGCGGCCCAGCCGGAGCCCTGGACGCAAGCACCGCGCTGGGCCGCAGCTCGGTGTCCGGCCGCGTTGCTGGCCTATGCCGGCCGCCAGCTGCTGGAGGCTCGCCGCGCTCGCAGCTGCCTCCGTGCAGGCGGCCTTTCGGCCGGCAGCCCGAGCCGGGCGGACGTGGCGAGCCCAGCGACCAGCAGCCCGAGCCTCGCCAGCGCTGCCGAAGCCTCTGAGCCGGCTGCGCCGGCCGCCTCGGACGGTCGCTCTGCCCTTGCTGGCCTCACGCCAGCGCAGCAGGCCTCATGCATCGAGGTCTCCATCGCCGCGCTCTCCGCCTGCGTCGCCTACGAGGCCGCCGTGGCGCGGAGCAACGGCCCCGCCTCGAGAGGGCCTCAACGCCGCTTGGGATCGGCTATCAACTGACGGCAAGGCTGCGTGAGTCCCACATCAACCGCGCCGCGTGCTCGCCATGGACAAGCGGTGGGCGCCCCAATTGTCCCGCAATATCGCCGACCAGCTAGCTGCCTGAGAAACCGTCAGCACCCCGCTCGGCATCCGTAGACCCTAGCAGGGACACGCTGAGGCCCTGGAGGAAGAATCCACGTCCCCCAGCGAGCGCGACAGAGGACCCGCCAGAGGACCTGCCTGGGCACCCTGGCGCCTGCGGCGCCCGAGGCGCCCTCGGAGGCCCGCCCGAGGCGGCGCATCACCTTGCAGAATGTCCATTTTGTAGACCAGCCCTGAAGTCATTTGGCAACTCCTCAACCTTACATCCCTCATCCTTTCCTCCTTTTCCGCCTCTTCTTCGTCATCCCGTGTGTCACACAGCACGTACCGTACACTTCGAGCGATCCCAAGTTCTAAGATCAACCATGTCGCTGCCTATACGGTGCACGCAGCATGGAAGGGTGCTGAGGGGGAGGACTGAGGAGGTGGATGTGACTACGCAGACAGTCGCGACAACTGGAAAAACTTACGGCCAAGGCTGGGGAAGGCGCCGCCCAGCGTAGCGCACCATCCCACCCTTTGGAACGAAGGCCCGCCTCGGCTGCCCCTTCCTTTGGATCGTCCGGGGCGCGAAGACAACGTGCGCGCCTCACGCGAGTGTCCGTTTGGAGGTCTGATGCCTCCAATGGAAGCCCCAGAGCCTGTAAACACCCATGCTGGCATGGAATGGTGTTGAGGGCCAGCAGGGCCAGGGCCAGCGAACATCCGACCATCGACGAGGGCACGTCCCGTCGCGAGGTGGACCCCTCTCTCCACTGCTTACTCCTCCTCCGCATCATTACTTCCTCCCCTTCCGCCCCTCCCTCGTCGCCCCATACACCTCACAGCACGTACCATACTCACCGAGCGAACCTATTTGTTCAAGACGGACCCAATTGCTGCCTACACAGTCCACGCAGCAAGGATGAGGACGACGGCCATTCTTAGCCAGACGAGCTCTGATAACCGCGCTAGGGTAGATGGCCCTGCCCTCTTTCCACAGGGCCTGTGCCGTTTCACACCGCATAAGGGGCGCGAAGACAACATCCGTGGCCCCGCGCCCCAATTCGTGGCCCTCTCGCGAACCTCGAAGACGACCGTGCTCGGGGCAAGCGGACTTGAGCCCCACCTGGGCCTCAGCGACAGTCACCGCCGCGAAGCCTGCCCGCACTCGGCAACGTGCACTGCGGCGCCAACCGCACTCGCGGAAGCCTCCTTTAAGCGCCACCAGTTTCACTCACTCGAGCCGTTAGTTGCCCTGGGTGCACGGGGCGGGATGGAGGGCATGAGGCTGATGTGGGAAGGGGATTCGCTGGATGGGAGAGATGGCGATGGCCACGACTCAGCGACTAAGTATCGATGCTCCATTCTCCGAAGCACCCTCCTTTCAGGTGCGCCCCCCTTGTGGGGAACTCACGGTCGGCTTCGGCATCACTTGTAGAGAAACTGCCCGCCACTTATGGGGGGGGGCTTGGGGGGGGCTCCCTGGTTTTTCAGGACCTCCACCTCCCTCTTCCACTGCTCCTCGTCGTGCATGCTGCCTTTCCGCTCCTCCCCGCCTTCCCCGCTCCTCCTCTTTTGCTTTTTGGCCTCTCGGGTCGTCCCCGTCCGTCGTGCTCAGCAACATTGCAGCCTTCAGGACTCATGGGGAGGAGGAGGAGGAGGAGGAGGAGGAGGAGGAGGAGGAGGAGGAGGAGGAGGAGGAGGAGGAGGAGGAGGAGGAGAGGAGGAGGAGGAGGAGGAGGAGGAGGAGGAGGAGGAGGAGGAGGAGGAGGAGGAGGGCTGTCTGTGCGCAGCTCTTAGCCACTGCCCGCGGGTCCAGCTCGTCCCCTTCTCCGTCCAAGTCTCCGCCCTCGTCGTCGGCAGCCAAGGAAGCGATCTGGTTGTTGATCTCCGTGATCGACAGCTGCATGGTCTCCTCCAGCTCGCTCAGCTTCTGGTCGGATGCCTGGCCTGCGGGGAGGGATATCCACAGTGGATCTGGTTATGCGACCCATCGTGCCCTCTGGGAATGCGGGCTTGGCTCGCCCGGGCGTACGGGCTTGGGTGTTAAGGACTGGCACGTCGAAGTTTATGGGGATATGATGCAAACTAGAAGAGGATGAGGAAGAACAGAAAGAGGGGCGGGATCGAGGATCAGTGCTACAATGCTGCTGTGAACTTCTGGCAGCTTCTGGACCCCAGGAAGGTTCTAGGGGCTTCCTGAGAGCTCCAGGGAGCCCCACGGGAGAGGAAGAGGACGACAATACTGATGAGGAGGAGAACAATCCACGCTCGCGCGCGAAAGAACGACAAGGGCGCTCGTCGGCGTGGAGTTTGTTTGTTCAAGTCGCTGTCTCCGTCAGTCGTGTTCTCTGCCGTTGCCCCTTCCCTGCACCCTCATCCTCAAGCTTGTCACCGAAAGGAAACATCTAGCAATGTCGTAATCGAGTCGCAGGGAAGCCCCTTCCCTTTGATCCCTCCCCCGTCGGGGGGGGGGTCTGGGGAAGGGGGGGTCAGATACACATCCCCCCCTGGGGGCCCCAGGGCCTCAGAAAGTACCAAGACAGGCCAAGCGTGCCCCAAAAGGCCGCCGAGACGGTCCAAGACGGTCCCCAATCGCCAAACGATCTGTCCAAAACGCCTTCACGCCTCCCAGACTGCCCAGGAGGCCTCCAGGACGCCCCAAGATGCCTCCAAGAGCACTCCCGAGAGGGCCCCGAGAGGCCAAACTCATTGATTGTCCGTCATTCTTGCTTTCAAGATTTGGGCGTTCTCGCCTTTTCCACTTCCCGCCGCTCCAAAACGGCGCAAGATGCACCCAAGATCGCCCCAAGACGGCCCAAGAGGCCTCCAAGAGGGCTCCAAAACAGCCCTAGCGGACCCCAAAAGGCCCAACACGCCTCCAAGACGGCCCAAGAGGCCCCCAAGACGGCTTCAAGAGCGTGCCCAGACGGGGACCCGAACGGACATTTCAAGCCCTCGGCCCCAAGAGGCTCCCAGGAGGCCCACGAGGTTCCCAAGAGGCCCCAAGAGGCCCACACGAGGTCCCCATGAAGCCCAAAAAGGCCCCCAAGGAGCTCCCAAGAGGCCCCCAAGAGGCCCCCAAGAGGCCCCAAAATTCCTCCCCAGGGGGCTCCGAGAGACTTCAGAAGAGACCTCAAGAACCATCCCTGAGGACTCTGACCCACGTCAGCGTTGTCGTCGTTGCCGCCGCCGCCGTTGTCGTCGTTGTCGTCGTCGCTGTCTTCCTTCAGGGTCGGCGGCACCAGCCGTAAGGCATTCGCAATCCACACTCGCGTGCGAAAGAACGACAAGGGCGCTCGATGACCGCGCGCAGAGAGGTGGACGAGGGGAGGGGGGTGGACCTTCAAGGAGGCAGGGCTTCTTCGAAGCCCCCACGCCTTCGTTCTTAGAAGCCTTCCGAGACTTCGGGAGGATGCAAGGTTTCAACGCCCGCGGTTTTCACAGGCCCTCGGGAACATCGGAATGGATGGTCCCTGGATCAAAATAGAGCGCAAAGCCCAAGACCGCTAGAAGACCTTGATCCTCGAACCTTAATTCCCAGACATCCGACGTCCTGATGTTTGCTGACACTCGGGCTTCAGAGCTTCTGAGCCCTTCCTGGGGGCTGGTTGTTCAATCACGCTTTTATGTGCAGTAACTACTGGGGCCTGGCAACAACCTCCAGACGCGGAAAATTGTGGATCGCCTCTGTCTTGATTTTTGCTCCGGAAGTTAGAGGTCTGGACCCTCCTCTTCTCTGCAGCGCCCTGCGCGTCGACACCCCTCATTGTCCATTTGGCAGGCAACAAGTCTCCGAGGTCGCCCCCGGCCCCGAGAGAGCGACGGACGGGCCATAAGCACATGCGGGCAGAAGCGAGAAGGAGACAGCGTATCTGCCTCGGCGGCGAACCGTGAGGGCAATGAGAAGGGGTGGGCCTTTTCAGAAAGCTCGGAAGTCCCCCAGCCTTCTGAGAAGTGTCACAAGCCTTCCCCGACAACACAGAAAACATCTCAGACAGCCGGAGGGCTTCTGAAAAGCCCCGCCGCCTTCTGAGACGGCCTTCTCCTTCTCACTTCCCCCTCGAACTCGGCGCCGAAGAAGGCATATGATCCTGACGGAACGGGTCCTGGGGCCCTGGGCCTTCTTCAGGGCAGGTCTGTCATCCTGAGCATTTTTCTCTGACTGCCTGGTGCCCCCCAGCATGGCCGAGGGAGCCACGCAGCGGCCAAATACAGTCAACCCATACACCAAGGATGCGCGGTAAGGATGCAAGGCCCTTGGAACGCCATGTTGACGTTTTTCGAACGGGGCTGGCCAGCGAAAGTGGCCAAGAATGGACCAAAGGAGGAGGATGCAATGGTAACCTTGGAAGGTCGCTCGCTCGTTCTTACCATGCGGGTTGACTGTGCTTCCAAAGCTCTTTTCCAATCATGGCAAGCCCTTTGAAATCTGATTTTTTATTCCCCGACGTCCCTGAGCTCGCATCATCTCCTCCAGCGATGCCGTCCGGGCGTCCATGTCCGCGCCTGCCTTGAGGATGTTTTCGTCGAGCCTCTTGAAGCCTCAGTCCGCTTCCTTCTGCCTTGCTCGTGACGCTGCTGCTGTATTTCTCCATTGCCCTGGCACGGGGCCACTGCCCCTGCACTAATGAGCCCGCTAGGGAGTGTTCAGACTAAGGGACCATGGCGGATGCGGCTGTGTTGCCGACGGCGCCCCCAGAGGCAATCAAGAGTAAGCGTGCACAGTCAGGGTCCTTTACCTCTCTCTTTATCAGCAGGTCTCCCGAAATCTCAGGAGGCCTCCGGGGGTTCAAAACAACGTCAAGACGCCCAAAAACTTCCTTTCCTCGCAGCAAAGCCGTTCCACGACCCCCTCCACGGAGTCTGCCCTGGCCAATTTTCTGAGCTGCCTCCAACCGCGGGGACAAGAGAACAACGCACACAACACGAAGAACACGAGACACACAAGAATGACGAACAATAGTGACATTCATCGGCCCTTATCCCTCTGACCTCCGACGTGTTGTTTCAATACGGGGCCCCTGGGAATACCGATCCCTTCCACGGGACCGGTTTCTCATCCCGGAAGACTGTTGATGACCCCAAAGCCCAGAACACGCCCCTGAAGGACAAGCTGGTGAAGCGTCTCATTCGGTTCTCGCATTTTTTTTTTTTTTTTTTTTTTTTGTTTTCTCTCTCTCTCTCTCTCTATCTCTATATATATAACAATCATATTTTCAAGACGCCGGATATCTGAGAGGGCGAGGGCGACATTGGTTCACATCGGTCCTTGGACAAATCTCGCTGTCCATCCTGGCGACCAAATGTACTCAATATCGGTCCCATGCCTCTCCCAAGGTCCACCCTGGCTGTTTTTTTGCACACATGATTGGATTCTATCGTCGCGAAACTTGGAACTTGCCCCATGTAACTGAAACTGGCAAAAACAAAAACCTCCTTTCTGTTTGTCACCACATCGTTGGAGGTCATGACTCGGGTGTAGCAACTCGACTCGGCCCTTTGACGTCTCCAATGGTTCGCTCTGGCCAAAGTTTGGGTGAGCATCTAGCCGTGGCCAAGAGGTCGCCCAGGGAGGCCTCAAAGGCCCAAGGACGTCCAAGAACCTAGGTCGTCGAATTTCGCTCGGTGATCGAGACCTCCGGCCGCAACCTCGGTCCCGCTCCTCCCTCCCTCCCCCTCCCTTCTTTGTCATTTCCATGCCCCTCCTCCTCGTCCTCCCCTCCTCATGCGCGTTTTGCTTAAGGTCTGGGTCCGCGACCTCCATCCACCATCTCCTGCTGCTCCCTGCTGGAGCTCCTCAGGGCGGCGACTTCGTGGGTCAGCGCGTCGATCGCGTCCTGCGCGCGCAGCGCGAAACGCCGTCGTCGTCGCCGCCGTCGCCGCCACCTGGTGAGTTTCGAGGGTGGGGTATGTTGAAGCGTTTCTGGCCCCCCTGGGGCGCCCTCATCGCCGCGGCCAAATCCCACCAGCCCTCTGGGCGTAGGTGGTTCCGGGAGTTTCCTCTTCCAACCTCCTTCTTCCCCTTCGGGGAGGGGTTTACCCCTCCCCCTTAACCCCCTCCCCTGGACTTGGACGGGGGGAGCCGCTGGTAGTTAGAGCGTCCAAAACGGCCTCGGCGAGGAAGCCACAATCATCGGTTTTACTAGGGTTTTGGCCCCATTTTGGCCTCTTGGGGGGGCAGGGCTAATTAACTCCACCCTCTTCTTTGATCGATCTCCTCCAAGATGGCCCCAAGAGGCGCCCCGGAGGCCCAAAGAGGCTTCCAAAAGGCCTCCAAGAGGCCCCAACAGGCCGCCATGAGGCCCCAAGAAGCCCCCAAGAGGCTCCAAGAGGCTCCCAGATGGTTCAAAGAGGCCTCCAAGAGGCTCCAAGGGGCCGCCATGAAGCTCCAAGAGACCCCCAAAAGGCCCCAAGAGGCCTCCAACAGGCCCCCAAGAGCCCCCCAAGAGGACCCCAAGCGGCCTCAAGAGGCCCCCCCGAAGGACCCAAGACGCCCAAGAGCCCCCATTGACCGCCAAGGACCCCCCAAGACGCCCGAAGAGGTTTCCAAAAGGCTTCCAAGAGGCATCCGAGCGGCATTCAACCATCCACTCAGCGTCATCATTCTCCTCATCCCTCCTTCGCTCGGTTCCTCGCCACCCCCTCATCTATCCATCTGGCCTCCTGTTCCGCCTCATCCTTTGCACAGATCGGCTGTCCCTCTCGTTGCCCCCCCACTTCCCTGATCTCTTCAACTTGCCTGGACATCGTTTCTGGATGGGCTGGTGGGGACACGCGAAGCGTCAAGAATTTCGTTATCAGCGGACAGAAAACAGTAGTACTTAGATTGTGTAAATGCGGGGACTGCGCGGGGGAGACGGTGGTGATGTGTTTTTCGGCAGGGGTGCGGCGCATCCCGTGGCCGAGGCTCGGCCCAGTACGCCCGGCGCCGCAAACGGCCGCACGCCAGGCCCTCGATGTACTTCAGCTCGAAGTCGCTGCCCTCGATGCTCTTGTAGCTCCGCTCGACGAAGCTCCAGCCGCACTCGGCCTCCTGATCGCCAGCGCCCTGGCCGCGTTGCAGGCCTGGGCCAGCGCGGAACTGCCAGGCTGCAGTCCCTTCCTGATGCGCGCGCGGCTCTGGATCCCCGACTGCTTTGGGATGCCACTGCACGGCTTGGCCTAATCTTTCACCGCCTCCCTCGCGAAACTGGCTCAGGCCGTGCAGTAGTGAATCTCCAAGATCGCGTCGTACTCCGACATGTGCGAGTCGCGCGCCCCCTGAGCCAATCTGGACAGCCAGGCCCGAATGGCGACGCCTCCTTCGCCTCCAGCTTCAAGCACTGCTCAGCCAGCCAAGCGTCCGATCTGTGCTTAGGCACCCGCGAGCCACCCTGCTCGCGCTTGAAATGCTTCGCGTTTGGGTCCTCGACGATGAAATGCTTGGTGTTCACGATGAGCCGACTGCGTTTCTCCAGCTTCGTCTTCCCCGTCTTCCGCTCCTTGCTCGCCGGGTGCTGCGAGCGTTCCGCCTCCATCGCCGCCGCGAACGTCGCGCGCGCCCGCGTGCGGATCTGCGCCGCAATCTCCCCCGCGAACCTTGGGGCTTGGGGCGCCTCCGCAGTGCCGCGATCTCCCGCGCGGATCTGCGCCGCGATCTGCCCCGCGCCCTTGGGGGCTTGGGGCGCCTCCGCAGTGCCCTCCACGAGCTCGTCGGCGATGTGGTTGCCCGCAACAGCGCACATGTCGACTCCCGCTTCGACAGCCTCCGCCACCGCCATGTGGCCCCCGATCTTCGCGGCCACGATCTCCGCTTCGCCGCTGGGCGGCGCGGCTTCCAGAGGTCCTCGCGGGTCTTGGGCAGCGCCCGCTTGCGAACTCGATCCACTCCTCCGGCAAAGTAGCTCGAGCCCGCGGTGTGCTTGATCTTCATGCGTTGCCGCAGCAGATACTCCAGGATCCCGGTCATCGCTCTGGTCGGCTCTCTGCCGCCATCCAACCAGCTCGCCGCGGCCCCCCATGATGCACCTGCCCTCGTTCGCCCCCATGTTCAATACCTTCCAGCCCTGCGCAATCCTTCTCGTCCTCGCGTCCTCGGTGTTCTCGCCCCCCGATGCGTCGCCTGCCGTGCAGACCTACTCTTTGATGTCCAGGTCGGCATCCCCGAACAGCTCCCTTGCTCTTCCACTGGCTCTGGCGGATGTGTGACCTGCGTCCAGCTCTTGGGAAGCACGCCTCGACGCCGCAAGCATGGCTGGATTCCGACCCCTCTTCGGCCCTCTCCTCCAAACGCTGGGTCTTCTCGCCCACGGGCACAATGAAGTTTCACCTGCGCTTCGATGCGCGATGCGCCCACGTCTCTGGCTCCTCCTCGCACATGGGGCATAGCGCGCTCTCGATCTCGATCCCCGTGTCGGCGACCCGCTGCCGCGGCAACATTTCGTTGGTGAAATCGCCCGCGCGGCCCCGACCTCGTCGAAGTTCCCCTGCCTCTTAAGCCTCAGGAGCAAGCCCCTCGCGGATGGAGGTCCTCCAATATTTTCCCCGCGTAGTGCTCGGACGCTTTCGCCAATTGCCTCCGCTCGATGGTGTCCGCGATCGCTGCCTCCTGCTCGCTGCGTTCACCTCGTCGTCTAGCTCCGTGGGGTCGTCGCCGCCGAACGCCTCGCCGTCGGCCGGCCCCCATCACCGCGGCCCTCTGGGCGCCCGGCCCCCAGCGCCGCGGGGTTCCCGGCCCAAGTGCATCAGCGCGCTGACCATCGCACTAATGACTCCAGCAACCCCTCCCCGTCGATCGCGCGCCTTCCTGGACATAATTTCCTTGGCGATCCTTCCTCAGATCACCTTGGCCCTGTGCCTCCTCGTCTCCTCGCTAACAGTCAGCGCCCAGGAGCCTGGTAGCGGATGCACCGCCCCGCGCCCTGGGTCGCATCGCCCCAACTCCAGCTGCAACAGCGCGGCGAGGCACCCCCCGACCAGCCGAAGCACAATGACACCCGCCAGCCTCCTCCTCCGCCTGGCGATCACCGATGGCGCCGCGCGCAAAGCCTGGCGCGCGGACGCCGCTCGTGAAACGAACCTCGATGCTCGACTGCTCGCGCCCCATCCTCGCGCCCTTAGTCCGGCGCTTCTCCATTTTTTTGTCCGCGTGTTTGTCTGCGCGCGCTGTCCACTTCGCGTGCTCGTGCTCCCCCTTCGCGACGCTGCCCCTGTGAATCCCGAGGTCGCGCGATTCTCCTCGCATCCTGGCCGTGATGTCGCGGCTCTTCGACTCTAGCGCGATCTCCTGCGCCACCACCCCATCGTTGCCAACCCTCGTTGCCGATGGCGGCGGGCTTCTTGGACAGCGCCAGCTTCGCCTCCTTGGCGCCCGCTGCGAAGTCCACTCCTGTCCGCGCCATGTGCTCGGTCACCGGCGCCGTCGAGCCCTCGACCCTGGCGGCGGCGTCGTCGACGCGCGACCGCGCGAACACATGTGTCAACATTTTGCTCGCCTTCTCCAGCGCCGCGCACGGCGAGACCCTGCCAAAGTCGATCCTAGTCTGATCTCCTGCGCAGTTGGGCGTCTCGGACACTATGGGCCGCGCGCGCGCCGCCGTCTCCCTCGCGAGCCTGCTTCCCAGTGGGCTCGGAATCTCAAGGTGCGCAGCGCGCGCTGGAAGCCCGAGCCCGACGCCTTCGCCCGCGGGCAGCGCCAGCCCCAATAAGTCGTAGAACTCCGGAACGTCCCAGGGCACCGTGGCCGCGTAGATCTTCAGCGGCGCGCGCTCGGCAAACAACCGAGGCAGGGCCTCTTTCAGCGCGTGGGCTTCTCTCGCGCGGTTAAGTGCGCCGAACAACTCCCTCCTCGGCGTCGAAATCGTCCACTTCTTCCTCCGCATCGCCCCCTTCGCATCCATGAACTCCACCATGCCGTGGATGCGGATCTCGTCGCCGCGCCTCGGCGCGCCCATTGTCTTCCGACGCAGCGTCCCTGCTCCGATCGCCTTCTGCTCCTGCCCCCGCCCATTCGGCGCATCCGATCAGCGCCTCCCTCATCTCCGCGCGCATGCCCTGCCCCGCAGTGGCGGGCGCTGCCGCGCCCAGCTGCTAAAAGCTGAGCGCTGCCCGTTGCGTTGATCTTGCTGAGCGCCGTCTTCCACTTCCGCTTCTGCTTTGCCGCCGTCTGGGCGGCGCCGCGCGTGGGCATCGCGCTGGCGACGCCCGCGCATAAAGCTTTCCAGCGAGCTGGCCCCAGCCGGCCCCGACGTCTATCTCCAACTCGACGGCGCCGAGGTAGAGGTCCCCCCCCCCCCCCCCCCCCGCGCCCGAAGCAGCGCTGGCGGCCCTTCGGCTCGACACGCAAAGCCGCGGCGTAGTTCTGCTCCACCGCGCGCGCCCAACTGTCTCGCCAGCTGCCGAGTCCTCTTGACTCGACGTCTTCGAACTGGTGCGCCGCCACGTCCTTCGCGCACTGCGACGGCGGGCGCCGCGCTTTGCGGTCCTCCTTCGCTGCCGTCTCGAACTTGACCTACCGGGGCGCGCCCCTCTCGCTGCCGAGGATCTCGCCGGGGCCGCCCCCCCCCATCTTCGTCTCCTGCGCCTGGGGAACCTCGCGGGCGCCCTGCCCCCCCCGCCCTCGTCGCTCGCATCGACGTCGCCGGACAGGCCCACCGCGCCGGCGCTGCCCGCAGTTCCTGGGCAGCCCCTGGCACCTGACCGCGGGCGCTCCCAGCTCTGGCCCATGAAAAGGGGGCCCAGATGGCTCGGCCGCGACCGCCTGCCGTCGGGGTCGGCCTTCCTTCCGCTCGGGCGCGCTCGGCAAGGGGAAGGGCTTCGGCGAGGGCGGCGCCTTCTGCGCCGCGATCTCTGCGTCTCC